CATGTTAATATATCCAGTAATTTAACATCCCCTGAAATGGGAGAAATGTACTGTGGTTCCTATACAGTTCACCCAGTAGAAATGGAAACGTAAAAGTAGACGGTCTGCGTTTTCATCTTAGTCACTGAATCATTTCAAATCCAATGTAATGGAGCACAGAGCAAAAAAAGTTCATCTTAACCACATAAATAAAATGCTGTTTATGTCTTGATAAATAAAGGGGAAAAATCAGAGGTGGTGCAGCTTAGAGGCCTTGTTAAGTGTTCTCCTCATTAGCGGGTTTTGTGTATTTACACTTTAAGAGCTCTCCCTAGAGGGAGTAAACCTATTCCTGCTTTCCAGTATGCTAATTTGATGGCAGTTGATGGGGCCATGGCTCCAGCTTCCTCTGTGGCAGAATTCCCACTATGTTCATTCATACAACAAAACAACCAATACGCTCTTCCTCCTCGAGCTTAACACGCTCTGCAAAGTCTAAAACACTGAGGAAGTTTTGAAAAACAAACGGCCCTTTAATGGGATCTCATTGCGGGTAATGCTTTCCCTTTTACCGGATGCTTGCTACTTAGACTGCTGTGTATTACCACCAGAATGTTTGTGGTCACTTCAGAGGGACTCTTTTTGAGCACAAGCACTGAGAAAATGTTGCTGCAACTGCTTACTACCACAATGCTTTCCAGACAACCTTTGTGTAAAAAATTAGGAGCTATTATTTTAATGTACTGGAATATCAGCATGAACAATACATGCTAGGTATCCATGAATGTACTCTGACATATCAAATATAAAATGTAAATAAAAATGGCAAGTATTCAATAAAATCATCAAATTTCACATAAAGGTTTGTACACTCACTTGATATGGACAACTCTGTATACTCACTATATATTTCTCATTAGTGTTGATGAAGAGGAGCTGATGGAAATGCAGCATGTCATATTTTTTGTGACATTTCATTTATTTGATTACATTAAATTTGATAGCTTGAACAGACAACCTGGCTAAAGAACACTGGAATTTTAGCAGCAATGCAACAATCACATCCAGAATCTACTCACGCCTTGTAATCCTGTGTTTGGAATAGAGAAATGTGAAAATCAAAAGTGTCTTAAAGTGCCAGGACAAACAAGTTTAGTTGTGAGCATGTTAACACAAAGCTGTCTGTTTATTTTCTTTTACATAAAAACACTTAAGCAAGACATTATTTTGTTATGGATTTGTTTTAAAACCAGCTTTTCTGTATCTGTGTCCAGGAGGCCTAAACAGAACTTTGCAGACCTGTACAAAATCACAGAACACAGGGCGACACAGCAGTAAACAAACCTGGCAAGACCATTACTAACCATTACTAACTACAACTTCTATCAAAATATGCCTTTTTTAAAATGTACTATATTTGTGGTTTTGTGTCACATCTACTTTCTACTGCAGTCTATACATAATGATAGGAGTGCCAGGGAGAGAGATGTGACTCTAGCTGCAAGTGTGTCCAGGTGTGTGTTTAAACAACTGAAAGGAGAAGAACAAGCTTTTAAAAAAACAACATGAAATCCCAGAACTGCTGGTTATTTATCTGTGTTCCTAAACTGCACCGCAAATTTGAAAATTGATCTTAAAAAACAATATATGTTTTATAAAGTTATAATAATTACACTGGCGCAAAAATGAATCACTATAGGATGGGAATAACATTTCAAACCAGTGATTAAAACAGTTAACAGAGAATGAAGAAGGCACACCAAAAGTAAAGAAAGCAATTTTCCTTAGATTGTATTTGTCCCTTAAGGTCCACTTATAACATTTACATGGTTTCATGTACCAAGAATAAATAGTCATAATTTATTCTTACATGACCACTTTCCAACCTTCCTTTATCCGTTAGAATGTGCCTTTAAAACTAATCTATGTAAATGACTAAATGGCTGAAATGAAGCACTCCTCATAACATCAGCATGAATGGATGAATACAGCAGTGGCTGATTCTGTGTTACTCTTATTTTAAAAGGCCTGATGTAAGCACAGTACGCTACATCAGAAAAGTTCATTCTAATTCTTAAGTTATCAAAAAGCTGGACCAGTTTTGTTCATGGATGAACCAAACGAACCAAAGAGGAAAACAAAGTTCTGATCTCTGATTCTAGAAAAATAATGACGTTATTAACTGTTCAATCACTTTCAAACACAACTAGCTTCCTGTTTTCGCTTACATTCTGTATAATAGTCTTTTGTTTCCATTTTTGTTCCCTGCACCATTTCTAACTCTTGTTTCAAATAGTACCCATCCCTCGGGTGTAGACATCCCACTGGTCTGAGAACATGGAGCTGCCTCACGTGGACATGCTTCAGCTCCAGATGATGGCTACTGCCGTTCTTTTCTTAACCAAGGCACGTGCTACAGGTTTACTGTCTTTACACTTGGTTAAACTAATGGCACAAAATGCACAACTGGATTTGAGCTTAAGCTCCTGAAGAAGCCTTCACAGCAGGCCAGAATACTGGAGCATAATCGGAGGCCCATCTCCGTCTGCCGGTGGACACAGCTCCTGTTTACATAAGGATGACTGCTGGGAGGCAAACCAACTCTGAAACTCTATCTGTAACTGCAGGGACAGTGTATGTGTGTGTATATATGTGTGTGTTAGTCCAGTATTAAGAGAAAACTGTGCGTCTCTGGCAGGATGTGACACTGATTCTATCCAGAGCACAGTGAGAAGAAGATTTACCCCACACACACACACACACACACACACACACACACACCTCAGTGGAGAGCAGTATCCTCTTCTCTCTCTTAACGCACTGCTAATATTCACAAACCTGGAGTTTTATTTTGGTTTGCGGCATTCTGCTGTCACGAAACGGAGCTTGTTACTCTTGCTCCACAGAGAGTGTAATCAAACTTTCTCTTTCTCAGAAACTCAGCCCACAGCAGCACTCGCTAACGGCTCCATGGGACAGGCACACAGTCATAGCAGCCCAAGCCTGAACAGCCAGCCCACAAGAGAGCCATTTCTGGACACTGATCTGACTGCCTGCATTTGGACAGCTACTTGTAACAAGCAGGCCTGCGATGAAGCCTACTTGTACCTTTTATTCACTGAAATAAAGGCACAGAGCTTCTCGCTCTGCTGTGTTACTGCTGACATGCACGCACTTCAAAATAAAATGAACTAACCAGGCCTGACGCGCTCACCCGCCTCTGACCTTACCCTCCCTATAAGCTTGTAATAGCCTACTGGCTCAAGCCTCCACACAGGCAACTTGTTCCACAGAGCTGGTTTTAACCACTCTACAGCCATGACATCAGTGAGACTAAAACCAGAGGAGTGCTATTCCAGTACCATACCCTATTACCATTAACTCCACAGCTGATGGTGTCTATCAGCTTTTAAAGGGGAAATCCATTGATTTTCAGCATAATTCAATCATTGTAAACAAGGTCATTCAGAATGCTATTGTTCTCTGTAGAAAAACTTGTCAACTTAGATTTCTTTACAGTGGGTGCTGATAGGAACCAGGGGTCACAATGCCAACAGGGCAAATATAGACATTCTTACTATCCAAAACCACCAGTTAACCTACACGTCTGCTGAGTTTTTATATGTAAACGGTGATAATGGTTAAACAGTGGTTAAAAAAAAAAAGTTTTCTTGGCTACTACTTTGCCTGCATGTAACACCCTGCATAGGCCTTATCTCAAAACTACTGCACAACAATGCCTCAGGCATCAGGCAGTGTATTCAAACTGATTTATGTAATTATTCTGTGAGGTGTTAAATGCTTGGGACATCCAGTTCCAATCACAACCACTGTGAACAATACAGACTACGTTTCCCTGTAACTGAGCATTTTACATCAAACCACTCTGAATGACTTTGTTTACATCTTAGTGATTGAGTTTTGACAAATGGGTGGAATTCCCCTTTTACGTCCTGTTGAAAGCTGACGTAAACTGAGGTCGGGCTGCAGCAGTTGCTTGTTCATCCACATTACAACGCAGCCTGTGTGTTTGGAGCAGGTTTCAGGCCTCTGCACTTCCAAGTCAAGCCCTCTGTTGGCACCTGAGGAATGGGACATGTATCATGACACTTTGTCCTGGTGGGTGTGTCACTGGCACACCGCTGTAAACCACTCTGGGCCAGACCGTACAGGCAGTAGGCGTGTCATAAACATAAGGGTTTAAAGCTCGTACTTAACACTTGCGTGTTTGACAATGTAAAAGGTAGCTTACCTTTAAGCTAATGACCGAGTGCAATGTGTAAGTGTGCGGTTAGCATATAACATAACACTTCTGTGCTGTTTTCTCCTCTCATAACCAGCCTCCACACTATTTGAAGAGCCTTGGTTAACGAAGCTGAGGGAGGCAAACCCCACTGCGCTGTTAGTGTGCCAGGGGAAAGGAAAAGGAAGGGAATGCCACAGCCATACTCGACAAGACCCCTTAATAGAAAGTAGTAGTTATTCAGGAGGAAATGTCTGTTTTGGAAACGAGTACAGTCGGTATTCGTCGTTGTATGATAGCGGAAGTTCGTAATAAAAAACACAACACGCGGTTTCACGTCGATGCCAACGCTAAGTACAGTCTGGTAGCTGAAGACTCGTAACTAACTCACATCAGCCTCGCCAGCAGCGGCGGCGGCGGCGGCCAGCCTGCCGAGACTAGCAGCAGGAATGCACTCACTCACTCACTCTGGGTGTAACTAACTTAGCAGCCCTCACTTCACCCTCTTCAGTCCGTCTAGTCGCACAAATACGTTATTTACCGTTGGTTTTTCTTTCTGTTCGTGTGTTTACAATGTTATTCACTCTGCCAGTGGCTATATTTATAATGATACAGCGGCCGAGTTCAACAAGTGGTCTTCCTTCTCTGTAGCTCTGCCCGGAGTCCCGACACAGAAACAGCGCAGAAACTCGCCGCCACAGCCGGAACTCCGAACCCGAGCACACGGTCGTTTCTGTCAATAAAGGAGGAAAATGAGTGGCTGAAGCCGTGTCGGTACCTGGTGAAGAGCCGTGAGTCCGTCTACGTTGGCGTAGTTGATGTCGGCTCCCTGTCTCAGCAGCTCCGCCACCTCCTCCCGGTCTCCGGCCGAACAGGCGGCCATGAAAACGGCGCCCTGGGCGAAGCGCACTCTGGCCCGCCGGCCCGAGCTCGAGTGGCCCCGTACCTGAGCGCCGGTCAGGTCGGTCTCTGAGCCGTGCCACCGCGCCAGCTGGTCCTGCCGCCGCTGCTTAGCAGCTTCGGACCTGGAACGGTCAGTGGCCGCCATCTTCCTCGGTCTCTCCCGGCAAATTCAATTTGTCAACTTAGAGAGAGACAGCCAGAGAGAGAGAGATGAGGAGGAGGAGGAGGAGGAGGACTCAGGGAACCGGGGAGCCATCGAGGCCCGAGAGTGAAGAAGTGCGCCGCCTTGCGGTCGCCGAGCAGCTCCTACACCCACTGAGCTCAGGGTGGAGTGACACACGTGAGCGCAGCGGACCAATAGGAAAACAGAAGGGCGATGACGCACTCTGCCAAATTCTGGCCCTCGGGGCTCTGGGGCTCTACAGAGCGAAGTTTCAGAGGGCAGTAGTCACAAGAAGTGCCCGGGAGTGTGTAGACAGCGGCTCATGTGTTCCTTCTGAAATTAAGTGTATTAATACGGAGTTTATCCTCGCTTTGCCACAGTAATAGCCTCTACTCTCCTAGGAAGACTTTACACTAGATGTTAGAACATTGCTGTGTGGATTTGATTGCATTCAGCCACAAGCGCGTTAGTGAGGTCAGGTACTCTAGTTGGATGATCCTCTTTGGATCACAAACACAACTCCAATCCCATTTCACCCCTTGACCCTACCACTTAGCCCCTACCCCTGTGTTTTACCTGTTCATGTCTAGGGGTTGGGTGTCCCAATTTCTGTTGAGATAGAGGGGTAGGGCGAAGTGTTAGGGCTACATGGCCCTTCAAACGGAGGTTTTTCAGAGGCACACTCCAAGTGGGAAAACCGGCAAGATGGCTGCGCAAGCGAGCAAAGAAACCCACAAATGTAGCTAAGTGTTTTGTCTATTAAAATTTACGATAGCCATGGTATTATCTTAGTTTAATGTCGTTTCAATGTAGAATGGTCTTTTTCTTCATAACAAGCATAAAAAAACGCTAGTAGTAGTACGTTAGCTAGCTAAATTCCACTTTAAATAGTACAGGCGTTACATTCTGGCACCTCAAGGCCTCAGCATACTTCTTAACGACGTTCGCCTGGCTTCAGCAAACAATATGACGGAATTGCGCAGAAGCGCTAGTAGCCTGTTAATGAAAATGTTATTTTTTATTTGAGGCTTGTCCCATTTCATAGGGGAAGATTTGAACGACAGCTTGTAGCTCAGTTCCAAGGGGCAAGGTGACCCTCAAAAACAAGGGGTAGGGGTAAAAATAAGAAATGGGATTGGGCCCAAGTCTTCCCAAAGGTAACGCTATCTGAAAATAGCTAAATTCACTGTTTGGATACATTTGGGCATGTAGGATCAGTTTTCCCAGAGATTAAGCCTAGTCCAGGATTACACTTTGCTTTCAAAGGAGAATCTCTATTCAGAATTCTTTGTAGACCAAGATTAGACTTGATCTCTGTCCTGGAAACCAGCCCATAGCGTAGATAAGTTCAGTGGGGATCATATTTTCAAATACGCTGACCACCGACTCATTAGAGGTGATGTGAACATGATATGTATGCAGAAGAAACTCTTGAATTTACACTATTTCATAGAGGTTTAAAATGACCACAAGGTAGACGGCAATCCAAGTTAGATTTTCCCACCAAACATTTAAAGTATGACACAGTTACAATCCAGTTTTTTATTACGATTCATGCACAGCACATTTTACTGTAATAGGGGCTACAGTAAAAATGTGCAAAACGGTACAACATGAGTTTTGCTCATCTCACATATTTTACACAAAAAAAAACCACGAAGAGGCAGCAGGGACATCCTAACACTTGGGAAGCAGGAATACAATACAGTACATGGTACATTACTGAAAGAAACATATTGCATTGGACATTGCATTGAACAGCGCATGGTCACAAACCAACTTAACCAGCAGGACTTAAAAGATACTGTATATCATCACTGAACATACATGCTGTACATCAGACTGTCTCTATAATGTAGGATTTGTACTCATTGCAAGAGGTTGTGCCAACTTTCTCTCTCCCTGTTTATTCACATTACTTTAACATGTCTGCTTCACTCTTTCTGTGATGCAAGATTCATCTGGGTACTCTCTTACTTAAACTAAAAGACAGTAGTACAGCAGAGATACTCAACAAACTGAGAGCTTAGGATGACACAGCGTGGAGCAACACCTTTTTATACTTTCTGAAACATGAGTGCACCAACTTCAGACTTACTGGAGGCACCATCACACCAAACAAATTTTCAACTGAAGCTGTGTAGATACTTATTGTCAAATATATGAAAAATACTGAAAATATGTGAAAAATACTGAAAAATACTGGCAATTCAGTATTGGAGCATTGAATATTTCAGGAGTGTGCTGTTGCTAATAACCTGTTCAAATGTTTCAGCTGTGATGGATGATGCAATGGCTTCACCACACAATGCTTAATATGCTAAAGACAGATAAGCAAAACAAAACAGAACCGCAATACTATGATCATCTATTGTAATTGGACATATGGATTTCAAACCTATTGCTCTTACAGATGCACAGAATTCATTGACCAGGTTTACAGGGAGCCAAATGCACACCTGCAGGGCCTCAACTATTACATCCTCTGAGCTGATATAACATGAAGACACTTCCAATGGACTTTTATACCCCTATCCTTTTTCCCCAGCCAGAGAGAAAAAAAAGACAGGAAGACCAAGATTTGAAGGGGATGGCAAATTCCAACAAATGCATCTTCGTTTCATTTTTCTGCCACCCATGAAAACTTACAAATTAACAAACAAAGAAATGCTAGAAGTTTACAATAAACAATTAAAATTGCAAAGTGTTTTGTGCAGTCATGTCCATGGAAAAATGTCTTTAGAACTCCTGGAGCTTACTTTGAAATATTTGTGACATAATTTTTCATTTCATCAGCAACACATATAGCAAAGTGGTTCATTTCCTCATTAGGCATTAATGTACATTTACATAAGGACACCCAGAAACCCCACTGCACACTTTAACCTTAAAATGAAACACAAGGTTAAACACTACACGTACATTAAGAGGATCTTTCTCAAGAGAACAAAGTTACAGAACTAAAATCAATTAAAAAAAAAAAAGAGAAATCACACAAACACCTAATTGTCTCCAGTTCTGTTCGGCCTATAAGGAGGCAGTTAATAAATAATTACAACCTTGTTTCCTTCTTAAATCACTGCAGTGATTTGAGATTTTCATCACAAAGTTCATTCAGCATGGCTGGGGCTCAGGGTCATCACATATGGCCTAAATAGACAGATATTCAATGACTGAAACAGTGCATTATGCATTGATGGTTCCAGCTAGTATGGTTTCTAAGAGAGCAAGTTGGGGCTAGGGGGCCCCAAAGGACGCATGATCAAACCTTCATCTGTCTCTTCATGGATGGGGGGAGGAGGGGATGCAGTAGACTGGGAAGATCCAGCACTGAAGGAGCCACGCAGATTCAGATTAACACAGAAGAGGCTTGGTAGGAGCTGGCGCTGGTACTGTTCCACACGCTGGATGGCATCCAGCACAGACGAGCTGCCCCCACACACCCAGCCTGGCAGCAGGCTGGCCGCACTAAACGTAGCCGGTGCAGACTGAGAGTGCCTCAACTCCAGTTGATAGGAAAATCTGAGAGAGGAGATAGAGAGCATAGATGACATACATGTGCATCTTATTGCATATAGCTATTCTGTAGCTATTCAGAATCACAAATACCCGACTGTGTCTGTCTTTAAGGGTGTCCTGCAAGGCTCAGTTTTATGTCCACTACATTTACATGCTGCGATGTGGTCACGTAATATGCAGTCTTGGTCTAAATTTACATTGTTATGCAGACGACATTTGAATCAATGTTATAATCAGCCCTTTCCTGACTGTACAACCACCTGCTTTATTTGACTGCATCCATGACATAAAGTCATGGATGAGTGTGATTTTTAAAAAACTGAACACTAGCAAAACTGAGATGCTTTTAATCAACCTGAAGCTCTGACATCTAGTTTATCAAGCCTTGCTATCAATATTGATGAGACTTTAGTAACACCTTCTGCTAACTTTCGCAATCTTTGACCCCACGCTCTCCTTTGACATACTCTAACTGACATAATTCTATAGTTAAAACAGCATTTTTACATCTCTATAACATTGCAAGCCTCCGGCCAACCCTCAGCTTAGAAGATGTAGAAATACACACATTTATAAGATCCGGTTAGACTTTTGTGATGTTCTCCTATCTGGCCTCCCTGTCAAAACCCCAATAGATTGCAGTATGTACAGAATGCAGTTGCTATCATCCTCACATATTCTAAGACGACTGACCACATCACTCCAGCCTACAAACACTTCACTGGTTACGTATTACATACTGTAGTCAATACAAGATTCTTCTTGTTACAAACAAAGCTCTGCATGGCCTGGCTCATGATTACTTGGCTGAACCATCCTTTACTTTACAATCAAGTAATTTAGGCCTTCTCCATGTTCCAAGGTCCAAACTGACCTCTCCGGGTGGTCGTTCGTTTAGTGTAGAAGATCCCAAATTATGGAAAACTCTCCCCAAATCCAATTGGGATGCCCTCTCTCTATCCTCATTTAAATCTCTGTTAAACATATTATTTTCATATTTTTTCATTATGCTATCAATGTTTCTCATATCTTTAAATGTAAAGTCTACATGTTTTTAATTGTTGCTGTTTAATGTGTTCATGTTCTATGTTGGTTAGTCCTTGAGCATGGGAAAAGTGCTATATAAATAAAAGTGATGATGATGATGATGATTATAAATGTGGATGCATATAGGTTGGTAGCATATGTGGTTTTTTACCGTGCAGACACCTGTTGTGATACGCTCCTGCCAGCATGTTGTAGAACATACTGCAGCAACTTCACTGTCTGCTCCTTCATCCAGCCCACATCCTCCTGTATATCAGGCAGCCACTCCAACAACCTGAAAGAGAGACAACATAATTGAATTAAAAGAAAATGCTTTCTCTTGGTCACACATCAACTCTCAAGGTTTTTCTTTAATTGTAACCAGCTGAAAGTTCTCCCACTATGACAATATTAAGAAATTGAGAAGAACAGCTAAAAGTCACCTGATACTCAGTGACACAGCTGACTCCAGTGGTAGCGTATATGGCAGTAAGATGGTTGACAGCATCCTGACAGGGAACATGTTGCTTAGAGAGTGCAAGAGGCTCCGTCTTTCTTTACAGGCCTCCACCAAAGCTACAGAGAAAGAGAGAGGCAGATTCTCACTCAGTAACCTACATAAAAACAAATATATCTGAAATACGCATGGCCTGCTATTCAGCGACAAATAGAAAGATGTTTATATGCTTCATCTAACATAGTCTTTTATACCTCTATGAAGCCGTGGTGGCAAGTGCTCAAAGATGTGTTCTTCTGTGCCTGAATGAGCATCAGGATGCATCTCTTCTTCCCTTGTATGTCCTTCCTCATCATCCTCATTATCAGAGTCTTCCTCACCCTCCACAGCCCCGTTACCCAACGGGCGGTGTGGCCGTCGGAACTGCAGCAAGCCTAAAAAAAGTACACATGCAATTTTAGTGAGAGACGAGGAAAGTGGCACTAAACTGATGAGTGAAGGTTCTAATTAAAAAGGTTCTAATCCATTTAGGCACACTACTAATAATGACCACTAGAGGGCACTGCTACACTTGAGAACAGCCCCTTGCAAAGTATGGCAGAGAAATCAGTAATTAACCCCACAGCACCTCCTAATGTGATATGGCATATCAGTGACTAACATACCAAAGAGCAAGCAGAGTTGGCAGTTATCTCAGATGACTCATGATCAAACTTTGATTACAGCAATACCTACCCATTTTTCCTACACAACACTGCTCATACAAATACACTACTCAAAAGTAGGAACACCCCTATCATATTGTTTTTTAAATAAATATTTAATTTGTTAATGTATTATGCAAGTCTGGCTTTGCCATATTTAGCTAAACAACAGTAAACTAGAAATTATTCACCTAACCATTCTGCTTCTCCTGGAAAGCTACCACTCAACACACCTAACACTAAATGTCATTATTATTCTGAAAGAGATTGCTTTAGAAAACCTATAAATATTGAGTTGAAATAATCTGACATATGATTTTATCTCTATGGTAATAAAATGCCTGTAAGAAAGACTGAAGATACATAGGAAATTCCAAAAATCAAGTGTGAAAAATGTACTGAAGTCATGGAAGTAGAGAAAATCAAGTGTGCAAACTAGAAGACTTCAAGCTGTCATCCAAAAGACATGATATGCAACAAAATACTACCCTAAATAATAATCTACACCACAGAAAAGAGACACTAATGTTTGAGTACTTTTACTTGCCTTACCTAAGTTTTCAATTAAGTACCAAAGTAATTTTGAGTTTCATTCAGTAAACTTGGTCTTCATTGCTGGTCGTTATAACTGTTCTGATGGATCTGAATGAATGATAACTTCAGCTTGGAAGGTAATCAAGAAATAAGGCATAAACTGTATCCAGAGAGTCTCCCAAGACTAAATTTGAGCACTGTAGCTGTGGTTTGGCAAACTAAGTTCTCCTATACGCAAATGTACAGTGAAAAACAGTACTGGAAATGGTGGTCATAATAAGATATATCTCTTACCATTTTTCTTTAGGAAATACAAGGCGTCTTTATATCCCTGCTTACACATGGTCTTCAGTACCTGATAAGGAAACCCAAAGAAATTAGCAGGATGAAGCTTTTCAAAACCTTTTAACAGGCATTTAATGTGTAAACAAGGTATCAGTATTAAAGAGAAAATATTGAAATAACTATGTGTGAATTTATACATTGATGTGTGCTGTTGTGTGTATGTATGTATGTGTAGTGGAGTTTTACCAGTGGATCAGGAGGAAACAGTGCTCTGGTGACTCTGTACAGGTTGGAGAGTGTGAACTGTATGGATGTGTTGGTAAATCGGAGCTCGTGCATGTTGGTGGAGCTGATGTCTCGAGGGCAGATATCACTCTCTCCTGAGAATGGAGAAACTGTGATGGTGTTCTTCAGCTCGTACCGAGGCAAATTATCACTGATTCCACCATCCACATACCGCTAGAGAGAGTGAGAGAGACAGTGAGTGATAAAATCAGTACATATGTCGGTAGAATCATATAATTGACTATTGGCAATGACTGATAAGTTCACTACTGTGTCAAAGTGAGAGACTACTCTTCATTTAACTTCCAGTCAAAATAGCCTTTAAGATATGTTATTATTTTTTCAGAAGATAGATTTAACAGAAAATTACACAGAGTCCACTATTTACCTTTATTACAGCATACATTGTTTTCAGGAGACAGTTTTTCACCTCCAAAGTTCAGTCTTAGAAGTTAGTTGCATTTTCTGCTTTGTGCGACTCAAGTAATCCCAAACATGAATGTGTTTGGGATTACTTGAATCGCTGATGTTGAGGTCTGGACTGGGGTGGTCAGTCCATTGTTCTGAGAACACCAGCATTTCTATTTCTAATAGACTATTATTTTTTTTCAGCTACACGTCCTCTCAGACTCTGAGTTGTATTTTCACAGTGGAAGGATGAAGAGGAACACCAGTGGATTTTTTTCAGATCTGAAGCAACAGTGGAGCTTGATTTCTCAGATGAAAGATGAAAGCTTTAAGTACTGTTGATCTGATGGTTTTGGTGGTCTATCAGCTCTTGCACTGTTGTTAGGAGTCCCATTTTCTTGTATGTTTCATACACTCCAGTTTTGGAAACTCTGTTTTTTTACTTTACCCTTCTTCATTTATCCTCTTTCCCCCAGTATATGTAATATCTCCAGAAATATCTCCTGATAAATGAATAACTTGAACGATATGGCTGTTTTGACTGGAAATAAAATAAATGAAGGGTGGCCTCTGACCTTTGCAAACTACAGTAACCCCATGGCAATCCTTGATAAGCAAAAATCATCCATGTTGGGACACCAAATTGATAAAGAATTACATAGGCCTTGTTTAAACAGTTTGCCAAAAATATTAAATAATTGTTAAGGATTTAATATTGTTACAACAATTGATTGTTAAAGGGCATTTATAAGACAACAAGCTGTGCTACAGCTCCTTTTTCATTGTCTCTGCTGCAATTATGTCAGATTTTGTGGGGATGTGATTATTTAATAAGACAATATCATGAACATTTTTTAGATATCACCCAGCCAAATTATGCACCTTCGCAAAGAGATGCAGAACCCCCCTCCACGATATTTCTACTCTCTAAAATAAACTCAGATTTCATATAAAGAGGCACTGTGATTGGTTAGATGAAGCAGTGGGAGGGGCTCTAGTCATTTGATATTCCATTTCTAGGTACCACAGGAACAGGAAAAACAGCATCCTTAGGAACACTGTGACTCTTCACATACTTGGCAAAACACACACACACACACACACACACACACACACACACACACACACACACACTTTAGAGACTTTGTCAGTAGCGCAGAACACACACTGTGAAGACAGAACTACACATGTACACACATTCCCACACCCCGCAATAATGCTCTGGCACTGTTCTGCCCAGTCCCGGCCAACACACACACACACACACACACATTTGCACACAAGTATCCTCCCTGAATGGCACACGTGGCAGAGGGAAAGCTTGTCTGTGGCCAAGCCTTGCCAAGACACATAGAACACAATGCTGAAGTATCCCAGAGCCTGAAGAGCTGATCTGAGAGCAGTGTGTTTTTTTTCACATAACACATAAAACCAGTGCCTCTGTAAAGCCAGCTTACAGCCAAATGATCATTTCTATTTTCAGCAGCACACAGCATTGCAAAATCAAAATCTACATCCTCCCTCAATAGATATTCTTCCCACAGCCAATGACTCACTCACATGGGACTTGGGATTTGAACTGCAGTGCTGTGTTATAACACTGTGTGTGTTTTGTTTAGAAGATCCATACCGGAGAAGTTTAAGTCTGCCCTCTTGAGTTTTCTATGGTCAAGTGCATCTGCCTATAACCTAATACACAATGCCGCAATCATAAACAATCGGAGAGACATATAGAGAAAGAGTAAACTTTCAGTATTCTTTCAGCAAAGAATAAACAGTACAAGGAAATGCTAGGGAAACAAACAAAAGGGTACAGAACTGTTGTAGGTCCCATGGCACTCCCATTTCAAATCAAAAACTATCTTCTGTTTCCATCAAAGAAACTTTTTTAAGCAGGAGATCTGAGCTGTCTAGAGCCCAAAACTACAGAAAGAATTTAAAGGGCCAATATTCTACATTTGCCCTGTATTTTATTTTTTTCTGATGTTTGATGTTTGTGTGGTTTTATGTACCATAAAAATGAATTCATTTTCACAATCTCTTTATATATTAGAATAGGCTGTTTTTATTATTGTGCCTTTAAGATCGAAATATGTAAATGAGGTGTGTTCTGATTGGCTGCCCTGTTTTATGCTTCAGTCAAAAAGCATTTCAGGTTGAAACACTCCTTGTAACTTGGGCAGATATATGTAAATTATTTCTTTTTTCATAAAAAAGATGGATAACTCCGCTCTGGAGGGCCAGATTCCTGCACAGTTTGGTGATATTCCAGCTCAAGCATACCTCACTCAACTCATCAGCTAATTACCAGGTTTGACTGCTGTGCTGCAGTTAAGTTGCCAACTGTGCTGGACTCTGGCCCCTCAGTTCCCCACTCCTGCCATATATGGACTGTATAGACTGGGGAGTGAATGTTTTTGCAAGTTTAACAATGTTCACATACTACATCAAACTCTTTTATTTGAGAAAAGCGAGATAATATCTGGTTTTCCATGACATAGGCCCTAAAAGGATTTTTTCCTGTGGCTTTTTCTGTACCTTTTATTTTGACCTGAATCAATAGTTTAACTTTTTGGTGCTATGTAGAGGTATTTTTTAAAGGGTTCTTTAACCATGGACCACTAAGCATGCAATGGACCATTTGTGCATTCAAATCGTTGTGTAAATGGTCACAATTCTACAACCACTGCCTTCATTAAGGAACCCTTGACAAACACTTTTTAAGGGTGTAATAAACACATCACCTCTTATATATTTGTTCTGTATGTTTTGTATTTCTTGTATTAGATAGATGCTTCCTAACTACAAGATGATTCTACACATACGTGTTAATAAGAGGATGAGGGATGTTTATCTTCTTAGATACAGACTTTCATACATGCTAACTGTGATCTCATCTGGTAAAATGGGTTTATGATGATGAAGATAGAAGTGAAGAATATAAGAACTACTCACCACTCCCTGCAGGGTGGGAGGTATAAGTCCACAGTACACTGGAATGTAGGCGCTGCAAACACATGCCTAGACACACAAACACAGACACACACACTGCAAATCAGAAGCTTCTAAGAATCGATTTCTGTCTTTATGCTGATTTTGTTTTTACATTTCAAAGACATTTCTCAAATCATTCCCCACTGTCCAAGTTACTTTTCAGAAAATTCCAATAAAGCTGTTATCATGTAATAAAACTCTGTAATCACTGTTTATGACCATATGACTGAATTTAGCACAAGTGTCAGTGATCTCTTGAATTTATGTTAAGCCGGGTGGAAATAAAATATTTTAGTTGGAGTGTCAGTGAGGAGTCAATGTGTCAGAGTGTGTTCTCAAGCGCTTATGATAAATAATGAACATAAATGTACAAATTTCCTTTAGAAAGTATAGTATGATGAATTGTTAATTTTTACTTAATATGAGGTAAAAAAGGTCAATATAAGTTGAGTTTAAAATTTTGCCAAGCTTTAGTTGTCCTTTTTCTGCAGAGGGTTTGAATTCAGCCTTTTTTGGTAAAGTACATGAATAGTTTATTGGATAACCTAGAAGCAAATTAAAAAAAAAAAAAGTTCTCCCTTCTTTCCTTCGATTAACAACTTACATAACTGCCTTGCTGCAAACAGAAGCACCATCCAACACCCACATAATGTTTTTATTGTCTTCTACTAACACAAAGTCAATCACCTAATCTATTTTTAAAGACATCCCAAATCATTGTGTTTTCTGTGCCCAACTACGGTGTTACGACTCTTTTAGATTCTTTTATTATGGAATACAAGCTTCCCTCTTTTTTTCATATGTAGCTTTTAGGTTCATTTCAGTATTAAATGCTGAGTGTAGTTACTAAATGCAATGCAAAATATAGGAACAATTACTAACCTTTACACTACTTTAACCCCCTAAAATACCTTATTGCATACTAAGGCTTATTATTCAGTACAGCGACTTCAATGCAAACTGGCTGAGCTATTCAAACTTTGCACAAACTTTTGCAAAAGAGAGGGTGGGGCATGCTGTACACAAATTATTATTACACAGTTATAAAGCACGTGTTATATATTAATTTATGCGTATGTGTGTGTGTGTCCATCTTACTTGCACCAGTTCCTCATTGCTGCTGAAGTGGGTTACCAATACGTTCTCTCCGTCTGTGACGCGGGTCAGAGAGATGCCCAGTCTACCTGTGGCTTTGCTGTAAGCATCAGGGGTCAGCGTACGATACAACCTGGCCCGTATGATCTTTACCAGGTTAAAGGAAGGGTGCATTGGTCCCAGAAACCGCTTCCGTGCTTCCTTCGCCACATCAATGATGTTGGCCCCAGTCTCTCCTAGAAACAGGGTAAAGGAGGACACTGAGTGTAGTGGAAATACAATGACAAGCTAAAGGCATGTGGGATTACTCCAGTTCTGTACTCCACACGCACTGCATGACTTCATGTTTTCCTGTTCTACACTTAATTCAGAAGGACCTGATCATTTGGGAAAAGCACAAGACAGTGAAGGTGGACTACAGGCCTGGTTCTGGGAAACGCTGACCTACGCTAGGGGGCTATGGCACATATGCTAAACATTACAAACATGCAGGACGTCAAGTGTGGACAGTGGACGTCAGGAGGCAAGACCTCATCTCATAGCCTTCGTTTTTTATCTCCCTACCAACATTACAGACATGCCTGCTACAACATGCTGCCTACAGCAACATCCCTATTTCTGACATCTGTCAGTTCTGCTTTCCTGTGACGGTTTGCACCATAATAAGATTAATGGAAAAGTTAATACAGCTGCTATATTAACAGAGTGTCTACTTTAAAAAAAAAAAAAAAAGACTAATTTTCACATTTTCCTCTTACCCCAAACATAGCTGACAGGCCGGTACAAGGTGTCTGATATTTTCTTGATTAGGTTTTGCAGTGAAGCTACAAGGCTAATGTACAGCCTAAATGTAATGGGAGTCTATGTAACCCGAAATCTCTCTGGGGTGACACAGACTTCTGTTACATAAGCCTGGTAGCTCCACTGCAAAACTACAGAAGCAAACTTCAGACACCACACATGTGTCTCATTAGCTATGTTTGGGGTAGGGGTGAAACTGTGCACCACCCCTGTAAACTCTACTCTTCGTCGTTATAAAGCGGACTGTGTTACCCAGACAAGCCCCGACGACCAGCGCTGAGGCGGTCAAGGCTCCTGCCGAGGCTCCGTAGATGTGCCGGGCATTTTCAACCAGAAAGGGCGCCTGTTCCTGCAGACAGCTGGCCACTCCGACATGGTAAATACCGAGAAACCCACAGCCGGCGAAGGAGATATTCCAGGGCGAGTCGAGGGGAAACATGCTGAGTCCAAACGGATTACCTTTTTCAGGACGGTTATATGGAGAAGTGTGTCGAAACGGACTAAAACAGTCTCTCAAGTCGGCAGTGCAGCCACCAGTTTAGGCCTTCCTTTCAAAACAAAACCAGGGCACGTCTTCCCGCTGAACACTTGTTATTGTTGACAGTCCGTTAGCGGCAGTTTGAGCTAACGCCGTCTTCGGTGTTGTTGAAGTAAACTCCACCGACCTGCCGACCTTGGCTCAGTAGGCTAAAAACAAAGATTTAAAGTTTGTTGTGGCGGCCAGTCCGCATCGTCGTGTCCTCCGCTGAGTGAGATTTCATGGCTGCTAAATGTTAAATAAGGTCTCGCAGGGCGGCTGGTTAAGTAACCTGTTTTTGGAGAAGTAAAGTTACTTCGCTCTCCTTCATTTCTGTCAAACCCCAGTGAGGAGGGCCCTTCACTTAAATAGGCGGGCAGTCGAGCTTATATCAGCCAATCACAGGCCAGGAAACCTGAACCTCCCGAGCTGTCAATCAGCCCGAGCAGCTTCCACGAACTGAGTACTGAGGCTGTCAGGGGCCAGTGATGTTAAACCCAAGGACCACTGCTGACCTCTGTTTGTGCACTTAATCCGAAATAACAGTGCTTTTCGCACCGTGACGTCACTCCGCCTGGTTGTTTATTACCAAAGAGGCGGTGAGCAGGTAGCAGCCTCCTGTCACAGTAATAACACCGAGTCTTTCTGAATGCTGTTTGCCACCTTTGATACAGTGGTACAGCTTGTCCCCTCAAGGCATCCCTCAATTTATAAATTGTAAAAATATGCATTCACTGGGGATTTTAAACTTAGAACACAGTTAGCAGCGGTGTTTTTCTGGATTTTATTTTGGCAAAGCTTTTTTTCGTCCTCTGTAGAAACCTCCCCTGGGTGCGCTTTAACCTACTCTACACATACTTGCTGAGGAAGTGAGTTCTGTTTTAGGTGGAAGGGGAATTTATTTGTTATCCACCGCATAAAGGACAACGTGTTTTCACATCAGAATTGATTTTCACCTCCTCCTCTTCCAACACCACCCCGTCAGGAGGTAAACAGTACGCTAGGGGTTAGTTTTCTACATTTATTGCACAATTTAGGACAATAATTAAGTGAATTATCACAGTAGTATGAACACAGTTTCACTGTCCAACAGCTAAAACAGAATGAGGGAAATTTCAACAAAGGATTTAGCCTATAATTTGCCTCTCCGCTTCACCACCCTGCTTGTGTCTTGAAAAATGATTCTTGCAGGCTACTTTATGTGGATCTTTTTGTATATTTTATCCATCTTTTATCCACTGTATATTTTTCCATCCTATAAAACAGCAAGCAGTCTGCTAAAGTACTGTTGCAGGTATATATAGCATATATGTTGTAATGTATTTCAAAAACACGAAGGGCACTCTTCTAAGAATGTGTTGTGAACATGCTATGACAAAATACTTCTATCCTTTGACCTCCTTCTAGTAGGCTACATCTTGCCAGAGAGCATCTCGAGGAAAAGGTTTTACCAAGTACATTTGGAGGGTCAATCACAGGGCATTAGTAGGGGAAAGGCATTTCAGCTCTTTCTGTGTATATCACATCTTAAAGAAAACAGATCTCCCATGTATATAATCTGCAGTAGTTTTCCTACTGACTGCATGATTAAGATTAGTCATCTTGCTTTCCATTTTTCATGTCAGACACACCCAGTTCACAATATCACCAGCCCACTCCATTGAAAATAAAATTCTTTGGATGCTTAGGTGATGATAACCTCATCCTCATCTGTTTCTCCTCTTCCCCTGGGAGACAAGAAACGATATCAGGAAAATATGCTTTCAGTCTCAGGGGCAGACCGACATCCCAAAACACAGCAGCTGGGGCAGGGAAACGGAACAAACAACAACACGACATGTCCAGGCAAGAAATGATAGCAACTGCAGCATCAGCAGTGATGTAGAGCAATGCCTCAACAGTTCTGCCATTTCTAATATCAGTCTTCTCCCCTTGAACTAAATTACACTGTCATTGGTGATTAATCACTCATAGCTTTGCAGTCTGTGACAGGATCTAAACAGGATCATAATCAGTAGTTGGGAAACTGGCGGGTTTTCTGAACACAGAAGTAGGCTAATCTGGGACTAAATTACATCATCATGAGGATTTTCTTTTCGAAAGGCTTTTTAGTCAAAGAGCATATGCAATCTATGAACAGCACCCTGAAGAAGTCTATTGTCGATCAAGGAAACACAAGTGATCACACGTTATACCATCATGCCAAACAAACTGGAATTTTATGCACTGACCTCATTTAAATGTTAAACTCTCTATTCATAGAGAATCCAGTTAAGACCTTAGTTTATATACATATGCCATACACGTATCTATACAATATCCATACAAATATGAATAAAAGGTACTAAATACAAAGTACAATGGAATCAAACAAATGTGCATAATAACTTTATCCTAGTTATATCATTGTCACAATCATAAGGTCCACTCCTGACATTTGTGTGGTTTCATGCACCAGAACAATCACAATTCATTTTACATGACCATTTTCCAACCTCTCTTTATCTTTTACTGACGTGGGATGTTTTATTACTATGTTTTTAAGACAAATACATGTAACTGACCTCTGTTCAGATTGGCTACACTGTAATGTGCACTATTTAAAAAGCAGTATAATGCTGTTTGAGTGGTGTTGGAAACAGGGAAATACCAATTCTGCTGCTTGTTAATTGCGCTCGAATGGCCCACAAAGTCATGTTTACAAGTGGTAAACTAGGGATTCTAGATGATACACGGGTTTATGAGATGTAACATATAACATGACCTTTCACCTTTTACATGAGTCAAAAATGCTAAACTTGCAGTGAAAGTGGAAAAAACCTGATACACTTCCATTAGATATATGTGCTTTTTAATACAGTAGAGAAAAAGCAGGATATGTATTCTCCGGATCTCCTTTCTTTTCCATATTTACTTACAAGCACCCGAATGGAGACTCCTTATAACTTCAGTGGAACGGGCGGGGCTGAATTAGGTGGATTTGTAAATGCATCACAAAATGGACTGAGGACTGAACGATGCATTATGAAACTTTAACAATATTTACACATTACATTAAACATTACTTTTTTTTTAAAAAAAAAGAACATTCGTTTTTTTTTTTTCAAAGAACAATCATTATATATGACATTACGGCAACTAGGGTTCGGTGGTCTGGTTTATGAGGTAGTAAAACTAATATGCAGTCTTTACTTGCAAAATTAAAAGAGCAGAACCACTCTTGGTTACTGAGGTTAATGCTAGGCTAGGTTTTAGACGTATGCCTAGCATAATTTATTTACAGTAATGCAGAAGTCATAATAAATGCTACATGCTTCAAGAAAGCAATATAAACCGTATGAGCGCGAGTGAGTGTGTTTGTTTGTGTGTACTGTCTCTTTAAGACTCCGCGTCCCGCCCCATCCTGAAAGTTCCGCGGTGCATACAATTCTCAACGGCTGTATGAAATGTGGAAAAAGAGTTTTGACAAGGAAGTAGCGTTGGCCTACTGTCTGTCAGTTTACTGTAATAAACTAACAGATTAACAGGTATTTTGGTTACACAGTGTACATGTTTTGACGACGAAGAAAAAGACGTTTAACCCCTAAAATCACGACACTGTAAGTGAGTGTTTACAGGTTATTTGCACAGCTAGCTTGCTAACGTTAGCTGGGAAGTTAACTTGCTCGATGGAAGCTAAATTAGCTCAGAGCAGATAGTACAGGGTTTATTTTGTGGAGTTAGTCAGCTAGCGGACTAGACTGTTTAACAGCTTCCCCACTTTACTCCGTAAATGTCATATTAGTGTCGAAAATCCTTCTGTGGCTTTTTGGCGTTAGTGTAGATGTACTGTCAGACAGTACAGTGAATCCCAGCTAGCCTTTGCTCAGTTGCCTTGAATTAGTTCAGTGGACATCCGGGGAAACATCCATCATTAGCTGCATAGCTATTGGATTTTTATCGCTTCTCAGTCTTTTCAATTTACACCTCTCTTTTGCAGAATGAGTGCAGTCTCACCCTCCATGCATGGGCTTGCCTGGGCATGGTCATCTCAGCGTGTGCCAGTTTGGTGATGTGATTGAGCGCCAGCTATGGCGCTGGAGGAAGACAGGAGGTGTCACATTTATGTCGTGACACTTCCAGCCTCTGTTCTCTCCCTTCCCATTCGAAGGGGAGACTGAAAGAAAAAAAAAGAAAGCAGATGGAGAGGAAAGAGAGGTATGAAGAAGTATACACAAAGGATGAGGGGAGACAAGCGGCCACAGGAGAAGAGCAGCAAAGAGGGGAGACCGGGAGGTTTTTGGGGCCAACTGGAGTGATGACTGTGGAAAAAGGGCGGAAAAGGAACACCGCTCTTCACGGCCTTGGAGAGGCAGCATCAGATGTGGATAGACCTGGTTTAATTGCAAGACAACATGCAAATGGAGTGGAAGAACTGGAAACCAAGGCGAAACTGGAGAGGGATGTATTAGCATCAATACGAAGAGCTCTCAGAAGGCAAGCAGAGGTTTTGGATGGAGAAACCTTCCATTCCTTTCCTTCTCTCTCTGATGGCCATGAAGATGCCTCTTCTACTTCTTCCTCCTCAAGCCCCTTGCCCTCTGCTCTCCTCTCCACTCTTTCCATCTCTTCCTCCTCTCCTCAGCTCTCTCTCACGCCCCCTCTACCCCCCTCAGTGGAGCTGGATACATTGTTGGTGGATGGCAGATTGGTGTTGGATGTGTATCAGTGCGGGGGGACGGTGATGCCTGCTCTGTGGGATAGTGTACCAGAGAGAATGAGGCGGCTGCAGTATGTCCGGCTGGGCTCAGAGGACGAAGAGGCGCTGGAAGGCGCTTTCAGAGTTCTGCCCCGACTCACTCAGCTACGCTCATTAGCCATTCGAGGTACACATACTTTGATGCACATACACTGTCATATATATCTTATGTCAGTGGTTCCCTATCCTAGTTCTGGAGTACCCCTGTCTTGCATATTTTGGTCATTTCTGTTCCTCTAACAGACCATAGCCATCTAATTAGCTAATTTACAACCCCCCCTGCGTTAAAGTGAGTGTATTAGTTAGTTGGTTAGTTAGTTAGGGAAAACACTAAAATATGCAAAGCAATAGTTGTCTAGGACCACAGCTGGGAACCAATGCCTCATGTATTTAATTTTGTTGCAGTAAATTCTTTTAAAGTGATACTTTTTGACACAGTGTTATATTCTCAAGACAGTTATATTCTCAAGACATGTAGTTTGCATCATACTAATTGGTGGTCACAAGCTTCCATTACTTTTTGACTACTATAGCTTTGTAGCTTCAGTACAAAACTGTAGAATCAAACTTCAGACAAGGTTGTCTTAGCTAGTCAATTTAATTTGGAGGGAAAAACTGTGTACATTTGAGTTTTTGCCAAACTGTCAATTCAAGAAACTTATTAGGAATCAGTCTTTTTGTAACATGTACTTTTTTTCTTTTTTTTTTTCTTTACACGTTTTGTATGTTTTTTCTTATGCCTCAGAAATGACTTATCCATCATTACTGTAAGATATACATTTTTTAAACTTAAAGCAAATTTCTTAAAGCATCTTTGTCTCTTTTATTCTCTCTTTTTTTCTCTTATCTGCCCTCCATTCCTCTGTCATCTAGGCCACCGTTTCTATGATGCCCAGAGTGACCCCCTCCCAGGTCTCCTGACCTCTCTTCCTGCTTCCATCTCCTCTCTTTCCCTTCTTGTTCACCTGGATCTCTCTTTCAACCGCCTTTCCTCTCTCCCTGCCTGCATACTTTCTCTCTCACACCTTTCAGAGCTCCTTCTCTGCCACAATCAGCTGGACACGCTGCCAGAGGAGCTGGGTGCTCTGGTGTCTCTGCAGCGGCTCAGTGTGCTGGGGAACAAACTGCAGGCTCTTCCCCCGGGAGTGGGGCTTCTGCTGGAGCTGCAGGAGCTGGACGTGTCCTTTAACCAGCTGGAGAGTCTGCCTGAGGAGCTTGGCCTGCTGCTGCATCTACACACGCTGGAACTTTCCAATAACAAGCTTCAAAGGCTACCAGAGACATTGGGTGAGGATGAGAAGGGCACAAATAATCAATAATAAGGAATACAGTGATATTCAGCACACACAGTATTGTTATTGTGGACACCTTCCAACATCAAGTTGCAATTTCATCAGAGGTTTTTTAAATACCCAGAGTAGCGCTGGTTTCACAAGGTCACTCTACACTATCACAATGTGATCCCATTCTTTATTTGATGTTTGAACAGCTGTAGTCAGTTATTGTCTGAAGAGTAAAATTTGTGCTATCCAGTGTTCTAGATTATTTCTACATGTTGTATTTTTTCTGAATACAATATTGCGATAATATTGTAAACTGTGATAGAAGGTTATGGGAAGTATTGTGACATTAAATATTTATATCGGCACATGCTTAATGCAGATACACTGCAGAAGTGTAAATCTTTGTCCTTATAGTATTTCTGTTTGATTACATTTTCAGGAAACAATTTAATGCATTATAAACTCTCAAATTTCACCACAATTTGATTCATTTTTTTAGAAACAAAATAATAAAAACAATATACCTGTCTTTTTGGTCTCAGCACATTTATTTTCAAGAAGTGCCATAATTTATTAAAGGTAACCCAATATTTTATTTTTTAATTATAAAAAAGTTTTTTATAATAGATTATTGTTTAATCTAACATCCCTCAAAACTATGCAATTGAATCTTCATCTTCTGAATGATGCATCAAAATACACCCCTAATAGACTCTGTACTGCACATTCCCATATAGGTAAAAAGGCCCAAGACAAAAAACATGTCTAACTTAGTCTTCAGTGAAAACTATGTAAAATGTCTATATTTTTAAATCTCTTTTTTTCTGAATAGGTTCTTTACACTCTCTGAGGGTGCTGGCAATCCACAGTAATGAGTTGAGGAACGTTCCAGAGTGTGTGAGAGCTCTCCCTCAGCTAACCAGACTGGATGTACGGAACAACCCACTGGGCCGACCCCCAACCCCGCCGCCCCTCCCTCCTGCTCCAGCAGGTTGTGTAATGTAATCAGTCATTTGGGCTGTACCACCTGTCACATGTACTCTGAAATCTGTTATATCTCTTCAACAATATGGGGGAGGTTCACAAATACAACATGTATGTAGGTGTATAAATGTAAATGAGTAGATGGGCACAGTGGATTTATACACAATTGTGTTACCTTGAAGTCAGTCTTCATGCTGGAATCATGTATCCCTCACAGCTGAGGATGAGACTCCTATTCCAGAGCTGCACCTCGCTTTCAACCAGCACAGGTAAATTAAGCACAACTGCAGTTAAAACCAAATTTTAACACCCAGTCAGCACTGTAGAGATATTACTGTAGTAATCTTGACATCCTTCTCTTTTCTACTGACTTTTCTTGCCCTCATAGGTTTTCCATATCTCCCACTGGGTGTCACGTGTTCCTTCCTGGAGGAGCAGAGCTCTTGTTTCCACGCGGATGTGTTGGAGGTGTTACACAGTTCAAGTGGGCAGAGAGAAAACCAGACAAGAAATGGGTACAGCTAGAAGAACATGATTTCCTATTGAATCGCCCTTTGGAACTCCTCCCACATGGCACTACATTTAACAAGGTGAAAGAAAAGTTGTAATTTAAAAGGCTTTTTGTTCAGTTATTTTTAAAGTTTTTTATTTAGTAGCTACTACAAATTATTCAGTAACTAATGCAAGAATAAAATCTAAGTTGCAGAATTTAATAGAATTCAAATGTGAAGTGTGAACTTATTTGGGATGGATTAATCACTTCTTTCTCTTTTGACCTCTCTTTTCTGTCTAACAGCCTGTAGATGTGTGCGTTCCCTATCACAAGACTCGAAAAGGTGAGGTGGTAGTCCGTAAGTATGATGGTCAGTCCTGGAGTACATTACCTACCCTGACCAGAAGGGGGAGCCACAGGCACAGTAGCAGACCGCGGGGCCGACCTGCTCGGGTAACATGCCAGTGGCCCTCTTTCAAACTAATCTTTCACCTTCTTAAATCTCATCTAAATTATGTTAGTTTCAAAGCTCAGATTGACCTCTAATTTCTCTGTGTGTGTGTGTGTGTGTGTGTGCAAACAGCTGGCCTGCTGCACTGTAAAGCAGTTCTCTTGGTTTGTGGCTGTTTCTCGACCTGTCAGAGACTCTTGCTCTGTATCTCCAGCCGGGGCACTGCTAGTGTCTCGCTATGACCCCGGGATCAAACTCACTTTTCCGCCAGACTGTACAACCAACACACGTACTGTCACACTGCAGGTGTTTACTTTGTGCAGAACAGCATATATCAAACATCTCAGGGGGCACTGTCCTGTTTTTGCCTTTTGCATTTTAATAAATATGGATGAGATGTTGCTCACTTTCTATAATTATTGTCAAGCTAATAACTATGCTCTGTATCTCATTTAACACAGGATAAAAATGAATAAAACAGCACAGTGCTTGTTTTAATACCCATATTATGAGTACTGATGGAGTATTTTAATGCCAGTATTAGTGGATCTGTACAGCCTAACATGTTATTATGATAAATTCTGCATTGTTGTTTTACCTCCAGGTACTGCAGGTGGCATTGTCTGAGGTGCAGGATCTAACTGGAGACCCTCAGGCCAGCGCCAGCCCCCTCCTCTGCCTCTCCCAAACCCCCAGCTTGCACTTCCTCCAACCAGTCAGAGTACAGATTCCCCTGCCGCCTGGACTCACAGGTGCTTCTCTCTCTCTGTCTCTCTTTTCCCTCATCTCTCTGCGGGTGATGTAGGATAATGACAAATGTGTGTTTGTGCTGCAGGCCACACAGTGGACATGTCTCGGCTGCACCTGCTGCATGGTGACCCTGTTGCTCACACCTGGACTGATGTCACTGCTCAGGTGTCTCTCTACATCACACAACTCTACGCCATCTTTTCTGTCACCCACTTCTCATGGTGAGTCTTGCTCTGTATGGTGTATTAGTGACTGTACACACTATGTTTGTGCTTTTTATATGTGTATGTGTGGCTGTTGTTCGATTTCCCAGTGAAAGAAGAAGAATTCATCCACCTCTTAGATATTGGTCCAGGGTCCATGGTTATTTAAACCTCTTTGTATGTAGGTACTGGCTGTGGTACACCACTCAGAGTTGCATTAGTGGAGTGGTGAGGAAAGTGTATCACAGGCTGAAGCAATTCAGGGTTCAGTTTCTGGTGCTGCAGAGAAAAACAGACCTCACACAAGTGCTGCTGCAGTGCCTTCCCTCAGACAAGGTGTGTGTGTGTGTCTGTGTCTGTGTATTTGTAACCATGTGTATGAGTTGGATGCACACTACTGTTCAAAAGTTTGGAATCACTGTTTAAATGTTTGGAATTTTTCAATAAATAAATTGTGCTGCAGATAAATGTATAGAGTGATTTAATTTGATGCTAATATTCTGTAAATTTCATACAATTTGTAGGGCTGCAAAAGCATAAATGAACTCACAATAACATTCATATCCAAAGTGCCTCATATTCCAAAAGCAGTGACCAGATCTCACTGATTTAAATAAGTATTTCATAACAACAAATTACAGTAAATACACAATTGTAGTTTATTTTTTAATAACAGTTATTGATTTCTTATTATGTTATAACTTATTGTTCCCAGAATACTTTAAACTGTAAATAAACTGTTGGTTTACATCAGGCATGTCAAACTGAGGCCCGTCCGGGCCAAAGTGCTGTGAAGATTAGTGTTTACCCAATCTACACTTTGAATTCATTTCACGAAGGCCTTGTTGCTTAGCTGATGAGCTAAATCAGGTGTGTTTAATGATGCAGTGTGCTGAAGTCTGCAGTGTTTTGGCCTGTGAGGACTGGAGCCTGACACACATGGTTTATATTTTGGTGTCTTGTTGATAGCATTTCTTTCTACACTGTGCAAGTTATTTTTGAACAACATTTGTTATGTCACAAGTGATTGCAAACTTTTGAATAGTGTAATGTATCGTGGTGTACATGTTTGTGATATTCAGTTCTTTTTGTTTTTTTTAATGCGGTGGCACCACTCCAGAGACAAGTATTATACATACATGTGTGTGTGTGTGTGTGTGTGTGTGTGTGTGTGTTTAGGTTGACAGTAGGTTAGCTTCTCTGTCAGAGCAGTATGATGGCCCGCAGCCATCAGATGTATGTAACCTGCTGGAAGGCGAGCAATTCTTTGCTGGGTTTGAGAGAGGCATCGACATCAGTGCAGGTTTGGCCACACACACACACACACACACACACACACACACACACACTGTAATCCATACATACACTAATGCATAGCCTTGGTACCAGGCTATTAGCAGTACAACTATTTGCCTCATTCTGTAATTGTTGACAGTCCCTGTGTGTGCTAGGTTTGTGAGATCTTTTTAGTTTGCCTTTTAGTTTGACTCATCACTGCAGCCCCTTCTTATTAGGCATTATGTCATTGTGACAAAGCAAGAATTCTCCTAGATAAAATGGCTTAGAACTGTATGTCAGTAAGTTTACTACTTTACCACCAAAAAAATGTCCCCAAGCTCACTATTGGCCATATTCTAATGACAGCTATGTGGAGCATAACATGGAAAAAGTAAAATGAGTGTTTATTCTATACTTTGTGTACCGTTAGACCGGCCGGACTGCAGCGAGGGCAGACTGGCCTTCACCTTCTACTCCCACCTTAAGAATATCAAAGAGGTCCATGTTTGCCCCACAGACAAACAAGAGGATACTGTCCGAGGACAGGTGAGTACGCCAGAGCTCATACCCATAGAAACAGATATGACTGCTCAATGTACTTCTATATCTAATCACTGAAAGACAAGAACATGAGTACTTCTGTATTACATCAGTATATACTATATACAAAGTTCTGAGTTGGCTTGGTGGGGACTGGACAGTGTCTCATTGTTTAAGCCCAGTAGATTTCACAGTTTGCATTTATTTGCAACATGTAGTCCTATTTATATATATTATATGGGGGGGTCCATATATTCACAGTATGCAGTATGTGCAAACAAACATACTGTGCAATAGCAGCAAAAGAGAGATTCAAGTGTCCTAAAAATATACATATATATGTATATATATGTACCATAGACCTGTGTATGCAGTATAAAAATATACAGTCAGATCAAATAGAAATTTGAAATAGCCAGTGTATATAGGTGTGCATGTGTATATATTTTTAAGGTACTCTGTATTCCTTGTGGAATAAAGAATACATTAAACATATATACAGAAGTAATTGTGGAGTGCTCTGGCTACCTGAGATTGAATGTTGCTCGTGTTTTGAGAAATTGTAACAGACTGCCATCCATCATGATAAAACATAAAAATGTTGATGGCGTCTAGTGTAGACTCATCGTCCTCCTAAGCATTTCCAAAGAACTTTTCATTTCAGTTTGTATCAAACATACAGATATTGTATGTTTGTTAAACATGAATTTGGGTTAATTTTCTTAGGTGTCCTTCTACAGAGGTAAGGTACCCAGTGATCTGCCAGAGGAAGTTGCTCGGAAGAGGAAAGGCCTTGACAGTCAATGGATGGCCACGCTTCCCCTCAGACTTCCTGTAAGATTGACACAGTGAATGTGGTTGCCCTTTATGCTAATTTAAGGCTAGTTTAACTATTTTATTAAACCGTTGTATGGTAAAAATCAGAAGAGTAATAGACTTTTGGAAAAACATGAACCCTGGGCATGTAAGACGAGTAGAACTTGCTTTTGTCAAAGTATGTTTTATCACCATTACCAAAATTCTAGTCTGAAATAGTCAGATATAAATCAGTTTTTTCTAACAATAACACATTGCTCATTTCCATGTTTCTTCTTCACATGCGCACACATACAGGGTACCAACTGTGAGGGCAGTTTGTATTCAGAGAAGCAATACCCTCCACTGAACCTTGGTGATCCAGAGAGTGGTTATCTGACAGAGACCAACCTGCTGGCCATTTCGTTACGCATCAGCCAAGACTGGCGCTGCATTGGCATGAATTTGGGAATCAGCTACCAGGAGCTGGATCGCATCCAGTACAAACACAGGTGCGCATCGGAGTGAGCGGTTCGCAGACAGCAGGGACTGGACTCCTGCCTGCCACCAGATGGTGCTGTTACACACTCTTCAGTGCCTGCTGGTGGCTCTGTCAGGGTGAAGATATGGCACCATTATTACAGTCTTTACTTTTTTTGTGCGCACATGCATGAACTTCGTTTATTGTGACAGTGAAGTTAATTTTTATGTTTACTGAACAATATCTGTATAAATTTGTGATAATACTAATAATAGTTAATAGTTAATAATAGTTAAAAATCAGACATTCTGATTTTTTTTGGTTAGATGCAAACAGTTGCTTTGACAGTGCACAACATGACTAAAATAACAATTTATACTATTTAAGTACTTCAAGTTCAAGGGCACCGCATATGCATTTATATTGCTCTGTGTTTGTATGTGTCTGAGTAGTGTGTGTGTGTATATATATATATATATATATATATATATATATATATATATATATATATGTGTATGTGTGTGTGTGTGTGTGTGTGTGTGTGTGTGTGTAGGAGTAATGTGTATGCTTACTCATGTCTGTTTGTACTGGTGAGATAATGAGGCAAGAACATGAATATGCATGGGGGGATGTAAGAGACCGAGAGAGAGAGATTGCAAGCAAGGGAAGAATTTTGCGTGTTTTTGTTTAATCTCTTCCCTGTCAGTCATCAGTAAGCCATCTGGGACACTGCAGGAGATTAAATACTCAGAGACACACACACACACACACACACACACACACACACACACACACACAGAAGAGAAGCTCAATGTTGTGTCCTCTGTTGATTTGTTTTTTCCCCCTCCTCACTCTCCTCATTCCTGTCTTTCTTTTTGAATTTTAATATTGCTGTCCAAGCCTCAGCCCGCCTCTTCATATCTCACTTATTCTCTCCTTAAATATGTGCATATATAGAAAGATATATCTGCCTCCCCCTCTCTCCCGCTCCTGTATATTGGCACTTTTCCAATTCCTCTATGTCTCTTTCTCTACCAGTATTAACATGCTGATGATTTTCATTGCCTGTGACAGTTATATGATAGACTGGATGACAAATAGTTCCACCAGTGCTGAACAGAGTAATCTCAGTCTTCAGTGCATCTGTGATACTGCTCTATAATATATACTATTATACTGTTATTTTGGTCAAAACAACAGAATATCCACCTTTTCTAGCGTGGGGCTTGAACGTTGAAAGTAATGTGCCAGAGTGCCGGTTGTGGTTGTGTAGTCATGTCCACAGCACATGGGACTTTGCTTTTGACAGGTCTTACTAGGGCTGCAAAAAAAAGGAATATTTTTACATTCAGTTATTTATGTGAATTAATCAGCTAACAAAATTAATTGTATTTTAAGCTAACTAACCAGTTATACGTAGTGAGCTAGCTAATATATGTAACACTGTGACAGCACGAGCTGCCGAATGTTCAGTAGTTTTTTGAAGTCACCTGCTAAATAAGTCTAATTAACAAAAACCTGATACGGTTTATAATACTGTAGTGACTAAACATGATATATGATATACACATGATATAACATGATAAGCTTTAGTGATTTTTGTAAGAGTAACGTTAGCTTATTCTGAAATATCACAGTACGAACTCTGCATCCTCCGGGAGTAGTTTACTTAGCCACAATGCTGTCATTGAGGGAAAGCTACCAACTGACCGCCTTATTACTGACCGTTCTGCTGCTTCAAAATCAACACCAGCATAGGTAATGTTGTGTGTCTGTGAAAGTCAGACATAAGTGTTTTGTATGTGATTACTTTATCCTTCATTTTAAGAAAATGCTCCCAGACTACCGTTTTTTTTTTTTCATCTGAGCCATAATGTTTTTTACTATAAATAAGTGAATTTGCTGCCCTCTTCAGGTTAAGTCGCTAATTTACGCTAGGTTGGATGTCACTTTGAAAATGTGAATGAAAATTCAACAATGAAAATGTCTATCAACAATTTTCTACTGTCAAATAATTGTTTCAGCCCTAGGTTTAACTTATCTACTCATTTAGGCTGTTCACAAGCTCAGTGTTATTAGTTAAAATTCCCCATTAGAACTTAAAACATTGCTGATAATATTAAAATTGTAGCACTTGTGATTGGAAAATTTCAGTCTTTCATGTTGTGATTTCACTATAAAGTTATTAATCTGTCAGGCCTAGAACACATGCAGGAGACCTTTAGCAGATGGCCAGGCCACCATTGATTTTGGGGAGTGTTTGTGTGTGTGTGTGTGTGTGTGTGTGTCTCAGCCAGTATATTCTGTAACGTGTGTTCTTTCAGAGACAACCTGGGAGCCCTGGTGCTGGAGATGCTCTTCCATTGGGCAAGAGGGCAGCAGAAGGCTGGAGCAGGGGCAGTCCCGCGGCTGATTGACGCACTGGTGGAGAGCGGCAGGCGGGACCTGGCAGAGGAAGTGGAGGACATAGTGAATCTGGGGAAAAGGAAGTACAGAGAGTCGCTAAAGCGAGTAGGCCTAGAGACAGAGAACCCAACAACCTCTACTCAGTCTGAACCAAGCTGACACACACACACACACACACGGGAGAAGGTGGAGTATCTCAGCCTCCACACTATATACACAAAATCACACTAATTGTGCTGGACACATACTGTACATAAAAAATTAAATATCACAGCACAGATGGACACCCATGCACAAACACACGCAGTTCTCTGCAGGGTGTCCCTGCGGGCAGGTTTCTCGCTCTGTGTCTTGTTGCTATGACTGAGCTGCTGTTGGGCTGAATCAGCTCCTCACAGATGCCTGCTGAACACACTCTTTCTGAACACATTGTCTCTCGAAGTAAATGAGCCTTAAACCAAACTGCAGTGTTGCGGATGTAGCTTTACCAAACTGGAACATGTAAACTTGTGTGAGCTTAAACGGGACTGTCTTATGAACTCAAATTGTATTGTTCTTTTTTATTTTAACCACGTGTGAACCATGAGACTGTTGGGCCAAAATTTTGTAACGCAGGCTAAACACCAGCTGTGGGGATATTTTAAAAGGACATTTACTGAATTTTTCTTAATACACAAACACTCTGCTGGAGAAAATAAATGTACTGTGTGGACGTTTTTGCAGTTGGATGATGTTTTTTTTTTTCTTCTGTTTCTCTGCGAGTTGGTGTGAAAATAGGTACAGCAGCATCCAGCCACTCACTCATCTGTTATTTTTACCTCAAGGTCATCGAGTGCGGGGCGTGGCTGTGATGACGCAATTCGCAACAACCCCGCCCCCTTCAGCCACTCTGTAGTAAAACTGCAATCACTCGCAGCTCCAGCAGGGGGCAGAAAACACTCCTCGTTTCATTCCTGCATTCCTGGTATTCACCTCTCCTCACATCCCCTCTCCCCCCCACCCTCACGACACGCTGGCCCCCTCCCTCCCTCCGTCATTCTCTCTCTCCCTCTCCCTCTCTCTCGGTGACACAAACGCTCGTAACGCCGGCAGCTTTTAAACTGCTCTTCTCATTCCATTCGAGGCGGCAGTGGAGGAGCCGAGCTCACAGAGACGGGATAACGGGACTCTCCACGGTACGGTAACGGAGCCCTAACCGGTCCTCTGCCCTTCCCTGGTCCTCAGTTTATTCATTAATTCAGCAGGGATGTCATTCAGAGGCGTGAACGACGCGGGCGCAGGTTTTGCTGTGGTATTAGTGTATGAATGTGTGATGTGTAATGATTAGGACCCAATGCGTGTTCATTGTTACCGTTATTCTGCTCTCAGTATCGTTATGTGTGCGGAGGGAGAAAGGCGGGTTAGTGCCTGTCACCGTCCGCTAACCTTCATATTACACGATGTGTCTCGCTTCGCGGCTCAGTAACCTTATAATCCCTCATATCTGTCAAACCGGTCGTCCATATGAAGCCTAATGCAGTGTTTTATTCACTCGGACGCCAGGTCCTCGCGCAGACCTCTGTTTTTCACCTGAGTGGACCTGTGTAACGGTCCACCGTCCGTCCTCTGTCTCTCCGCTCCGCGTTTCTGTGTTTGTCTCTGCGGGTGTTAGCTTGTTGCTAGCTGCCTGTTAGTGCTGATGTGCTTTTATCCTCTGGATATAAGCCGGGGTATGACAGAGAGCTGCTGCTGCGCCTCTCTCTCTACTCTAACGGTCTCACATGGCGGTTGTAATGGGAGGCGCAAGCCGTTAGTGAACATTTGCAGCGTGCGTGCGCGCTCCCGCGTCGCTGCGTTTGTGCTCCCGCTGGTGCAGCAGCGGAAGAAGCCGTGATCCAGCGGCGTGGTGATGATGATGCAGAGGAGGCAGAGACCACGACACGAGCCTCTCCCGCCGATCAGCTCCTCCGCCATCTGTGGTGAAACTGTTAGCCACGCAGTCCTGAACCGACGGCGGCGACTCGCGTGCCGGGTTAAATTTAGGCGTGATACGTCGAACGTGAATAACCCAGTTCAGGTGAGAGAGTCCAAACGTGACATCTCCCGGCCTGGTTGACGTAAAGAATAAGACTGCAGGGTTTTATAAGCATCTGACTGCATTCCTGGTCAGAGAACAATGGTTCAAGCCAAATGTGCACAGTATGTTCTCCCAGCAGAGGTGGACAATGAAGGCCAGGTGACAGGCAGTCAGACAGAGGCCTCTGCTGAAGCTATTGTTCAGACAGTATGATGAAGTGAACCGAAAGAGAAGATGCTGCTTATTGCTTCTTCAGCTTGGCTCCTATCAGTGACCAAGCGGAGACCACAGCCACAAGGCTGAACTTCTTCAGACAGAATCGATTAGGGGAACACGTTCTAATACAGCTGAGCCTGTGGTCTTGTGTAAGGAATGAAACTTGTGTCAGTGAAGAGTCAGATAAATTAGCACAGCGCTGCCCAAAATGTGTCCCTCTCTGATCAAAGTTGGCCCTTGAGGAGGATGTTTGATGTGACCTGCCAGGAATTTAGAACCATGCACTCTTACCTACAGAGCCCTGCTGATGACATCCCCTATTAGTAAGATAATGCGTGACCACAACTTACTAAACTGTGGGAAGAGGATCCTAAGATGGGCCACAACTTAGTTAAGTTGTGACCATGACTTAACTGTCAAAAATCTCATTCCCACACCTTGCTAAATTGTAGTTACTAAGTTACTAACTTAACTATCAAAACTGAATTATCTTGTTCCCACGCCTTAGTAAATTGTGGCTATGACTTAACTATTTCGTTCTGCATTCTGTTCTCTAACTCTGTATTTGTAAGTAATAACAAAATATAGTGTCACGTCATAAAATTCATTTTTCAAACATTATCTCTTCTTTAACCGTACACTGTTTGTCTGTTTGGCCCTCAGCCCACCACAAACATTGCGGCCCCCCAAGACAAAACATTTGGGCAGACCTGCGTTATCATGAGATATGAACATGAGAAGAACAGTTCTTTTAGAACAAAAGGGGTCAAAATCCTCTCTGTGTAATTTCACAAAGATTAAAGTCTTACCTTGGCCTTGAAAACGAGCAAGGTCTTCCAGTTAAACACAATGTGAGGCAGCTGGTAAAAAACTGATGTCTTGAGTTTTCAGTCATATCTGAGTTTTGTAGAATATAGTATAAGGCAAGGTTTTAGTGAAGAGCTGCTATAAAACATGATTTTCAGAGTTTTACATATGTGCTGTAAACCATTTCAGTCAATTGGGATGCTAAATCTCGTTCTTAATGTCATTCGCTGTATCACTTGGCCAGCAGATTTTCACATCCTAAAGAAAGCAGCTGGAAGTCAGCTTAAACTAGCTTTAAATGGAACACAACGTGTAAAGCAGAGTCTTCCTCTGACTATAGACTGTAAACTGAAAGGAAATTGGATTTGATTACCACAAGAGCTGGTATTTGATAATGTGATGGTTTAAATAAATAACTAACTAAATAAATAAAAACATCATGGTCATAAATGTCCACCCAGGAATTGCTCCCACAGAACATTTTATAATTTTGTTGCTCCTACAGAGGGTTTTAGAAAACATTGTGCACCCATTAAAACATGCAGTATGTATAGTTAGGCTACTACATGCTTTCCTGCTAAAATGGTACTGTGGTACTAATGGTACTAATTTTTGGTACTGTGCCTTTAAAACTGATAGATATCATTGTAGGCGAAAGTTTTAGCACCCCTGATCAAATGACACATTTTGACGATTTTTTTAAGTGAAAAGAACCTCTTCTGAATTAAAAAACAAACTTAAATACAACATATTTCTACACAGTTATCATTTATTTGCTTCAGAATATATTCATATTTATATTCAGAAAGCAGTCAGTGAGTGAAACACTCCATATAACGTCAACATGAGGGGGTGGGGCTAAACTGCTGTAGGCTGAACAGGTGAATAAATGTCAGTGTGTTGGCGTTTGGGACTTCGCATAAAGGATTACTTCAGAATGGGCTGTTTTTTGCAGATTAGTCGAGAGGGAGGCTTGTGTCGTATTCACAGCATGCTGTTATTCACAATGACAACCTTGAGTGTCCTTTTGCTTTTATACAACAGTTTTGCAACCAAAAATCATAAGACAAATATTTTCTGGAGACTGTTTCAGATTTTTCAGATATGTTTTTAATACTGACAGTTTCCTCTACTAAAACATTAGCACCACTACAAGCGGCATGTTACTTAGCAACTGCTGATCAGCCTTATGATACAGACAGGATGAACAAATCATGTTGTTATAAGGTACTTACAGCACAGCTATAAAGGTTTTCTACCTTGGAGCTAACTGCTGTGTAAAACCAATTTTAAATACATCTTTCTAAATATAATTTTTGCCAATTGTGAATATATAGTAGGCATAATGTGTGATTAAGGCCCACACACTCCTCCTGGGATGTGCCTGGTGTCTGCTACTGCATATTTACAAACTACTGACAGTGCAGCATTACTGCATACCTGAGTGCACTCTGAAGGGAGTGCTAAGCCCTGGACTTTGCGATTGGGTTTTACAGAGGCATTAGATCACAGCAGTGTGGAAAAGATAAAAATATGTCCAGTTTCCACTTGGAACTTGAGTCTAATTCCCAGCCGGAGGACACATTTCTGCACTCCAAAGCTGTGTTTTTACTGGTAGTGCCAATAGAGGATTTTTAGGTTAGATTTAGAGATTGTGAGGGTGTGAGTTTACTTTGCAAGCCACTGGATAACTCGACTCTTAATCATTTATACTATCTGCCTAATTATCATACTGACATACTGAAGCTAAACCCAGACACACAGAGGCAATTTCTTCTTTCTTTCTTTTCTTTCTTTCCTTCCTTCGTTCCTTCCTTCCTTACTTCCTTCCCCACCTTTCTGCCTTAGTTCCATTAACGCTCAGTCAGCCTCTCTCCAGCACAGTGAGTGAGTCAATCAGCTGGCGCTATCACTGATTAGCACTGGTTTGTCTCTCCTGCGGTCGATTTCTTGATGGAGAACACATCCTTTGAAGCCTGACTTAGTCTCTTGTGTCTTTTGAAAGAGGTCGCAATGAGGGAGTTGACTGCCAGTACAGTAGCGAAAGCAAGCTGATTTTGGCTCTGATTTGGTCTCACCAGAATTAGGCCATACCTCAGAGCAGTGAAATGCTTCTTTTTTGATTTGATTGGCTGACGCCACTGGTCTTTCATGTGTCCACTTGCTTTTACAGTGTGCTTGGGCTGGGCAATATGGCACAAATATCGTGATACTTCAAGACATACGTGGTGTGAGTTCTGATAAGTTGGAACAGACACAAAAGAACTGGTAGTGCCACATTTACAAATTACTGTAAAACACTCCGAATACAATAAAATTTATTCAACATTTCACATACAGCACTGCACAAAATATAACAGGGCTAATTATGCTCTCTCTGTGATGAAACATGCAGTTGGTCAGTGTCCTTTGAGTACAGTTAGCATATTGTGATGTAATTTATCACAATAACGGTAAATATTCTCATATTGCCCTCTCCCACAGTATGTCCAGAGAAACTTATAATAAATGCACTTAATTCATATAGTGTGTTTTGTAGCCTTAGTTATTGACAACATATGGTTTCAGTTAACCCCAGGACCCCTAAGAAACCCTGATAGCCAGTATGTAGGCCCACACTTTAATACGTAACTCTCATATACTGCTTTCACAGTAGTCTAATAGTTACTGAATAACCACTCTGTAGATTAATAACGGAATAATAAGACTGTAGTTTGCTGATAACATTTTGTGACTTTTGTGTACTTTAAAAGTTGGTTTCTGAATGGTTCTTGATGTGATTTCGGCTCCGTTTCTGTGTGCAAACATTAGATATACAGTATGTTATGAGCTTTTTACCATAAAGGTTGTGTGACTTTCACTTTTACAAATGAGTAAACCTTTTCTTCTGTTCGGTTTCTTGGGATTTTGTGTTAGAAAGAGTGTAATGATAGCATAACAGAAAGCGTGGGATGTTTGTGGCGTATCATCTTTATCTCAGCTTGGGGATTAGCAGCGGATTCAATGACACTGTACAGTTTAAGGATGTAACCTCCAAATCTCTTGTTTCCGTGCTTGACAGGAACCCTTGATCTTTATGTTTATGGATGATGAGAACTTCAGAACCATATTACTTTCATTATAGCTTCCATTTTAATCATTAGAGGTTCTTTCAGCAGCTCTTATCACCGCTGTTTTGGCAACATTGTGTCTTAAACTCACACAGTCCAAATCAGATTGTAATGATCTCAGTTAAAAGGGTATTCATGTTTCAGTATATCCAGAATCTTCAACCAGACAGGCAGTGTGCGATGTGCTCCCAGCATAGAGAGACGGAAGAGGCGTTTAATCTGATTGTGCTGAGCCGAGGACACGGCTTTATTAGACTGAGGAATAATTATAATTCTGCATTTCTTGTTTTTCAAAGCTCTCTCTCTCTCCTCTGTCTGTCTGTCTCTCTCTCTCTCCCTCTCTTTCTCTCTCTCTTTCTCTCTCTCTCTATCTCTCTCGGCTCACCACTTCGTCTGAAACCATGACAACTAAAAGCACTAGAGAGACAGAGAGAGGGAGAGAGTGAGAATGAGGGTAAATCTCACCTCGTAGCTCATTCTCCTCCATCTTTGTGTTGCATCCACTCAGCTGAGTCAGATCTGAATGTCCTTTTTCATGCAGGTAAAGATAGAAGGGTTCTGCAGACAGGTTGCAGCTTACACTGCAAAAAATTATATCTTTGCTAGCGAAGTCATCATATATCTAGAAGATTTAAGATAATTGCAATTTATATAAATATATAAATTAGAAAAGATTATTTCAACCTATGTAAAGGAGAATTCCACTATTTTTCCAAAATTTCTGCATAATTCAATTGTTAAGATGTAAACAAAGTCATTCAGAATAGTTTGATGTAACATAAAAAGAGAAATTTGCCTATTCAGATTTCTTTACAGTGGTGGTAACAGAAACACAAACGTAGCCATTTTTGTACTATCCAGAATCACTGGTGAACCTACACGTGTCTTGTGAGTTTTTGTATGTAATGTTGATGATGGTAAAATGATCAGAGGTCTAACATTACGTTTTCTTTGGGAATTGATTTACCTTACAGTGTCCTACATGTTTCTCTCCGCCATTAATGTATTAAAAAAATTTTTAGGCCACAGAACATTTTACATCAAACTGCTCTGAATGACTTTGTTTACATATTAAAAAATTATTATGCAGAATGTTTGAAAAAAAGGTTTTAAGCTATTTTTCCTTGACACAAGCAAAACTATTTGCCAATAGAGTTAGACAGTTTCGCTATAAGATTATTAAAATTCTCTAACAAGTAAAATACATTTCAAAATAAGCTGGGTAATACTACAGTGTTCTTACAGCAGTCTCATAATGAGAAGTATTACACATATTGACTAAATTTAAGATGTTTTTACTTGACAAGAGATCAGTGTGTGAAATGGGGTGATGATGATGTGGAAATGGGGCAGGTAAAGACACACAGCAGTAGTCAAACAAAGAGTCTGTGTTGCTCTGAGAGACCAGTGATCTTTACTCCGTTGGTGAATGAATGACACATGTCTGAAATGCTGGATTGTGTTGTTACAGTTAGCACGTGATTGTGTGTCTGTTCATGTGTGTTTATGTGTGTCTATGTGACTGAATAGAATTGCTGCTGTTTGCTCAAATCTGTTAGAGCAAAACATGTGCCTCTCATTATCACTGACACACACATGTGCATACCTTCTACAGTCTGTCTACGGTGAAACTTCCGCTCCAGTCAGTTGCTCGTTTATCTCAACTGCTTTGCCTCACATTTCTCCATCTGTCTGTCCATCTTTTCGGTTCCCTCTCTTCTCAGCTCTCTCTTCACAGAGCCATTCGGCCTAATTCTCCCTTCCTCATCCTGTTTGGCAGTAAAATTGCATGTTAATTGTGCAAATAAAATATGCACAAATTTATGCATTGAGGTCTGTGTGTGTATGTGTTTATTTGAGAGAGAAAAAGAGAGAGTTTGTGTCTGAATGTAGTTCTGGGTTTTAGGAGCACAGAAATTGCTGGATTGGATATCGGAGGGAAAAATGTTTTGTAACAATCCTGCGACAAATCTGTCCTGAAATAGCACTCACTCGCACTGTATGATGTGATGTACTTCTTCCTGTGGGGTAATAGAGTGAGTAGTTTGAGCACGATAACCTACTTTTCTTAACTTAAGAATTTCAATTAAAAATAGATTATTTTAGCTGAGATTTAAAAGAAAAATATCAGTATTAGCCAATACTCAAGATTTGAAGATTACTATCAATATTAGGAAAGAAAAAGAGGTATTGTGTCATCTGTACCTCAAATTGTGTTGAATTGTTTTCTTATACGTCATTAGGGGTGTAGCGATTCTCCAAATCCACAGGTTGGTTCAGACCTTGATTTTTGAGCCACAGTTTGGTTCATACCTCCAACATAATATACAACTCGCTCTAATTGTAAATAGAATAATAATTTCGTGATTTATATGTGTTATACTGTTCATTATGAACTGAAAAATGTTACATTAATAATAAAGGGAGCTCAACAGGCTGCACCAGCAGCGGTAGCAACAAGTTGGGGTTGAGGGGGAGGGGGGTATCCATGAGACCGTGGACGGTTTCGGTCTTCGTCTCAGTATCGTTACAACCCTACACTACATTGTATATGTCTGCTGTCAGAACAAAACCTTGTATGTCCAAAAAGATAACTTTACAGGAGAAGGAAAAAAACTGCTTTACTTTTAAAGTGAATAGAACCAGATCTGAAATTTACACACAGTGCAAAGAGCAACAGCCATTTTCAAATTATATTATTTTTTTATGTCAATATCGCTGCTGTTCCAACAACATTAATTAATCTTGTGGCTCATGTGAAAAAATAAAAAAACGATATTCAGACACCAATCATGTCCTAGCTATTCTACATTTGGGGGAAAAAGAATTTAGCTCTTTTCTGAACTCTTACTTAGAGATCCTAGTCATTTTGTATAAATGATCCTTGAACCTACTACTGAGTGAGTGTGGAAACGTGTATTTTATGGTCTCGGGTGTGTACAATTAATAGGTTGAATTGACAGTTAAAGTTCAGAAGAGTTTCTTAACTGTTTGAAAGTGCAGAGTGCACATACAGGGAACAGTCCAAGGTTTACTCCATTCACAAGTTGCTTATTCACTACTTGTATTATTTGCCAAATGCTTATCTGTTTCTGTTTCAAGTGGGTCTAGCAGGCTTAAGAACTTGACCATGTATGTGTGTATGTGTGTGTGAGTCTTCTGGTCAGTAAAACTGTGTGTTTCTGTCTGCAGGTACTCAAAGATTTGAACATCTGATAGGTCACGTTTGCGTCTTCAGATTTTGATTGATATTTTTGTAAGTATCATCAAAGCTCCCACTCACACATACGCACGTTTCAGGGTAGGTCTCCTGCCAAAAATCATATTGCGTAGGTTTTATCTGCAATAGTTTGCTGTCTTGCTAACTGCGAGAACTTTCTCCTGTGCTAAGACTTGTGTTCAGTTACTGTACAGTCTGCTGATGCTGTTGTATAGCTGTAGCTGCTAATATCATGTCATTGAATGTTTGTGGTTACAGTTTGTTTCAGAAAGTTGAAATGTACTACTTATTGCATCTTAGACAGCAATGTCATATTTTTATGACTGTACATTTAAAAATAGACATTATATATGAGCTAAAGGATATCCTCAGATTAGTTATGATAAAACAAATAGGGATGCACCAGTTCTGATATTCATATACATGCCCAATGCCAATACATAAACATTTAGGAAATGTAGAAATTGAGACTAAATCTACTTTCATGAGCATTACAGATTTTTTTAGATTTTTTTCTTTATGGTTTACAAACACCATAAAGTTAATGAAAGGCAGGCATGTTAGCACTGTAGCCCGGCATATAGGCTTAGGTCATCCAGTGGGTTTTATGGGCGTGTGCCCAGGGGCCCAAGCCACAAGGAGCCCCCGGGAGCAATTATGACAAAATTCAAACAGCTGTTTTGACTGGTTGTGGGAACCTCATTAGCAGCACAGTGATAAAAGAACTAATTTTAACCTTATGGCTGATCACAATCTTGACGCTCTCCACAACAATTCTAAATGCAAAATTGCTTCATTTTCTCCTCCACTGCTTAGCAATCACTCCGCTATCTGCCATTAGCCTACCTCAGTCAAGCTCTTTTTACATTAAGCTAGCATTCCTATGAATGTACTTTGAATTCGAAGCACCAGATATACAAAAGATGTGCTTGGGGAAGCCATAAAGGTGAGACCTGAAGCTTCAACAGAGTAGAAGATGCCCATTTTGAAAGGCAAACAGCCCAAACTGCTGCGTTGTTGTTGCCAGTGATCTGTGAACTGTCTGCTTCAAAGATGTTAGTGAAAATAAAAATAAAGAATGCTTTAGTTTAGCATGCTTGATGGCTTCATTTTTTAAGTTTGCTGGTGGTGTTTTCTTCATCTTTGCTATGTACATCTCTCTGATTTTGGTGTTGTACAGCTGTTTGATTTTAGTTGATGTCATCTTCATTTGAGTAAATGTTGTGCTTGTGAAGAGTGGACACATGCTTTGTAAGTAAGTGTTGCATTGGTTTCTGTTAACTTGTATTCTTGTTAATGTGATTGTAGTCTTGTTTTGGTTTTTACTACTGTAGCATATTAGAATATGCAGGATGATGACTGTCCTGCAGTCAGCAATAGACCATAACCTCATGTCATGCCATAGCAGGACACAGTGCATTTGGAAAATGTATTGCTTATCAATATGTTATTGTCTTTATGCCACCAGCGCATATCAACACAGTTACCTTCCTTCTAAACAATAACAAATGATTGATGAATAATTCACCTGTACAGTAAGCTGATATAAATATTTAATTCAGGAGGTTTGTTTCTGGAACCGCTTAGCTGGACGGGTCGGAGCATTCTAAAAAATGCTCTCAAACAAACAAACAAACCTGCTGTGATATCAGAAAAAAAGGTAGCCTTGTAGGGGCACACCAAACATTTGTGCCCAGTGGCCCATAGCTGGATGATGTCAGCAGTGCCTAAACATCTGTTCTTTCAGAGTACAACAAATACGTTATCAAATATCAGTTTGAAATATCAGTCAGTTCCAGACATCTGTCTTAGGCTGAGCTTTTAGCAATTATCTTCCAATACGATTTCAATCTTATCGTTCATCACTAATAGCAAATAGTAAGATGAGAAGCATGACGATAGATAAAAGAGTCATCAAAGATATTTTTCACTGGTTTATTTGGCAAAAAATCACCTCTTACCCCAAATGAAGTTGATCAGCCAAATTTGGTTCTTTCGTTCTGCAAAGGAACAAGACTAATGTAGCTAACAGGTAATCAATGCTTCTTTCTGACCGGTTAGTGTTGTGAACACTGCATTTCTAAATCATTACATACTGTTATCTATAAGAACGGATAAAGGCACAGAGAAAATGTAGGCTTCAAGATGGCCACTACTTCTGTTTTTAGCTGTGCGACATACTTTTGTACATTGACAAATAAGTACATAAAGCTACATCAGCAAGACATAATACCACATAATCTATATTTGAGATTACTCCACAACTCAGTGAGGTTTGAGGTAGGGCTGGGAGGTTTACCTTTTTGTTGATTTCTCTAAGAATTATTTTTCACATATACTGTATATATTTTAACAACTGTTTATAAGATTGCAGTGCAGTATATGTACAGCATTATTACAGAATAATAATAATAGTAATAATAATACTAAGAAGGATCTTCATTGCCTGGATAGTAGCTAATCGGTGGAGTAAAAGCTTCCATTAGATGTTAGTTACATTTGTCTTGTATCTTCAATACAAAACTAAAGAAGCCACTCCAGACACCAAAGTCTGGTTGTTCGTTTAGGGTAAGAAAGAAATTGTTTTAGTTTAATTTATTGGTAACGTATTGCTGTAAGTGATCAATGTTTCATTTCACTCAAGCCATGTGTGCTTATTTTACAGTCCCAGCAGCACAGCAAAGCAGAGAGGCATGGAGGGAGGAAGCATGAATGAAAAATAAACTACAGCTACACAAAGGAATCTGAGTAGAGGCAAGATTTAGGCAAAACAGAGGAACAGAGGGGTAGACGAAAGCAAGGTCTGGAGAGGAGGAACGAGGTCAGGCGAAGAGTTAAGGAGGAGAGGAACAGAGATATAGAACCGAGAAGACGTCTGAGAAGGAATGAGAGAATGAGAGTAAGAGTGGGGTCAAATACACATACATTACACGAGACCGGAAGTTAAAGAATGGACAGTACAGAAGAGGCTGAGACAGAGAGAGAGAAATGCTGTGTCAGTTAGTCTCGTTAGTCTCTGTTTCCTGTGACCTGCCTTGGACTTACACACACACACACTTCAGCAAGAGGTTAAGGGTGATGAACGAGAGTGATGAAAGGAGAAAGAGGTGCAGAGATCAGAGAAATGAGACTGAGCAGAAATCAGAACAGAAAAACTGATAGAAAGTAGCAGTTAGAGAGAGGGAGAGAGAGAGGGATTGAAAGACATGGAGAGAGGAAGGAGAGAGAGGAAGGAAAGGCAGAGAGGGGTGGAGACGGAGAGAGGGAGGAGGATGAAGTGATTGGTTGGAGGGAGGGGTGGAGAGAGTCAACAGTCTCCAAGGCCTTACACACACTCACATCTGATAAGCATCACACTCACAGCTCTGTGTGTGTGTGTGTGTGTGTGTGTGTGTGTGTGTGTGTTCTGCCTGCTGTACTTTACACTGTGGGTGACCGAACAGCAGAGTAGTGGAGTATTAAACCGGGTTTGTACTTATAACGAAACATTGACAGTAACATTTATGATAAACGAAGGCGACAATGTGTGTTAAATAAAAATTAAAAGTTGCACTGAGCATGAATTTCCAGCACTTTGTATTAGCCAAAGTAGCAAGATATATAATAAAAAATTGCCAATTAAAATAACATGAATCAAATAAAGTGCTACATTGAAAGCAAGAGGCAGCGGATTATACATTATGATACATGCATAATTACTCTACGACATTTTGGTAAAGCGGCAGCATTCAAATACAGTGCCAGACTTGTTATTTACCTCATAAAATTGCAAAATGGATTAATCAAAATAAAAATTAAAACTTGGTCAATTGCCGATGACGTGCTTGGAGTGAACATCCACCAATTCCGATTATACACCCCTAGTAACAGGACAAAAAGGTTAATCGTTCAGAATCGGAATCACGTGTTAGGAGCGAATGGCAGGTTATTTTATTTTGGCCAATGAGTGTTGCAGTTTTATGACGTAAGTCATGTAGGCCAGTGGAGTAAACGTGCACATGCATTTAAATGCTGTCCCTTGCCAAAGATGTCAGCTGTGTGGAAATATTTCAGAGGGTGTGAAGAGACATCAAGACGACAATCTGTGACGTCTGCAATGAAAAACGTCTCCAAGGTTGAACTACACTGAAGACTTTCAGTGCTAGTGTCTCTGTTAGGTTACTTACCATAAAAAATACATAAATAAATCTTTGGCTGATGAAAGTAAATGTTTAACTGTAAACAAAAGCGAATCAGCCATAAAAATTTAGGGCACACCTGCTTTTCACAGCCAGTGATTGAAAAGCTATTGTGAAAGTGGAGGGCCGTTTTTGAAGACTGAATAAAATGATTATTATAGAGTTTGTATGGATGCTCTCCAGCGGAGACAATAGCTAAAATCACTGTGCTATTCTGAGAGTTAGACAGATATGCAGGCAGACTGTGTGCACGTGTACGTGTGTGTGTGTTTGGAGGGCAGCTGCTTCTAGGGAGATGAGCAGGGTGTGTTTGTGTGTGCATGTGTGTGTTGTGCCTGTATAAAATACAATGCAGTTGTGTCGCTACAGCTTGCGAATGTGATCTGCTGTGCAATTGGACGTGTGCCAGTAAGAAGGTATACAGCAACACTGAACAATGAAAATGTTTATGGTTTATTAAAGAGCTCATTTTCTTATTGCACACTTTACGCACACTCAAGCAATATCAGTATTGCAAAAGGGATACACCAATATGGGTATTTTGGTCCAATGTTGATATCCCACATTTTTCATGTACATGTCTGCCGATGCAGGTACATAAACTTGTATCAAATGTAGAAATTGGGAGTAAATTCATCTGGATTAGCATCACAGACAAATGTGAGGTGTATTTGTAGAGGGTTACAACTGCAGTAAAATGAATAAAATGCAGATATTTTAGTGCAGTAGCCCAATATTACCTAAACATTCTTCTTTTATGGAGTACAGTAAATACAGCATCAAATATCTATTTGAAAAATTGTTCAAATCTAAACATCTGTCTGATGCGATAATTTTTAAGCAATTATCTACCGATACTGATGTGGTTCTGATATTATTGTGCATCCCTAACTTGCAGTAACGATTAACAGGCAGCAGCCCGTGTGTGTTGGCCGATGTTTGTGGTGTGACGCAGATGGAGTGAACATTGTGAACTATTCTAGACTCTCACTGCTTGAGCCAGAGCAGTAGAGTTGGAGTGAGTGATGAGAGTGAAATGAGGGGAAAGAGCAAAGGATGATTCAGCACTGCTGATTAAAATGTTCCTGAGGACAAGCTGAAGCTAACAATACACTTCTGCTTCAGGGTTTAACCCCACTTACTGTCTCTCTCTCTCCCCCTCTCTCTCTTTCAGATACCCTCATCTTAAGTGGACCAACGAATGGGCACACATAAACATCCGAACCCCTGCAAGCTTAACAGACAGAACTGAAGGATAGACAAACTGACACCTTAAAAACCTCTCACACACACACACCAGCACACACAGAGGAGTTGTGGGCTCACATAAATGGCTGACAAACAGATCAGGTAAGCTTGCCTCCCACCGTTACCATCTTACAACACTGTTAGACGATGCTCTTTTAGCTGAACTGATAATCACTGTCATTTTCCAAAATATTAATGTTAATTTTATAGGATAAATATTAGGGCTGGCGCAAACACCAGTTTACAGGCTTTGAATACTCATTGGTATTTCCTAACAAGTACTCGAGTACTCAAAATCACCATTAAAAACAACAATGATTACATTTCATAATTAATCTAAGTACTAAAGTACTTTTAAGCATGTTCATTACTGCAGTTCAAAATATATCCAGCAGGCAGCAACAGCATATTGAGGCTGTGGCCCAGCTGTTTGCATGCCATTTGTTGCTGTGATTGTAGCCCTCTCATTCAAATGCAGCTTTTATTAGTCACATAGATGCTAAGGGTCTCAGAATGATCATTTTATTCATCGCTATCACAATTTTAGTTTTAGTTTCTTGTAATTATGGACTGCTAATCCATTGTGCTCTGCATGCATGCGTATGGGGCAGTCATGGGCCGGAGGTTAGGGAACCAGCCTTGTGACAGGAAGGTCACCGGTTTGATCCCCTGAGCTGACAATACGTGACCCGAAGTGCCCTTGAGCAAGACACCTAACCCCCATCTGCTCCCTGGTCACCGTGGATAGGGCTGCCCAACGCCCTGGGCAAGTGTGCTCACTGCCCCCTAGTGTGTGTGCCTTCACTAGTGTGTATGTGATGTTTCACTGCACGGATGGGTTAAAATGTGGATGTGAAATTTTCCCATTGTGGGACTTATAAGGGTCTCTTAACTTATTTGCTTTCATTTATTTTATCGAGTTATTTTATTTGGCTATTTCACTGTTTTTTTGTCATGGAAAGCACAGGCCGAGTAGATCTCAGTCCTAGCCAGGCTACAGTCGGGGGATTGTGGAGCTTTTGGAGCTAGGTATATATAGGCGGCTTGTATATATGCGAGATGGACCACTCCAGAAGTGGTGCACTTTGTCTGTTACTCATAAAGGCCTTTGTTGTAATGTTGTTGTAATTTAGGCCACAGTTTTTGTCATTTACAAAAACCGAATATCAACATAATGAACAAATGCTCAAATTCAAATGATTTGTGTCAGCCCTAAGAAATCACACAACTGATCTTAGACCTGACAACAAAGTCTTCATGTCCTTTAAACTCTACTCTTGCATATGCATTCCTCCCTATTGCTTACGCATCTAATTTGCTTCTTGGCTACTGTAGACTCTTTCCTTTTGTCTTTCTCCTTTGCTTTTTAAAACATTTCTCTCTGTTATTCCAGCTATTAACATTGTATTCCCTCCTCTCTCTCTCTCTTTCCCTTGCTCTCTTCCTTTTTGATTGATTTCTTCCTCCAGTTTGCCTGCCAAGTTAATAAATGGTGGAGTTGCTGGGCTGATTGGTGTCACCTGTGTGTTTCCCATTGACCTGGCCAAGACCCGCTTACAGAACCAGCAGAATGGCTCTCGCCTCTATACCAGCATGTATGTGGCAATACTGTTCAGTATGCATTCACACACATAGGCATTGGGTATTGTTTGGGGTACACTTGCTCAGTGTGCTAATTCTATTTGTCTGTTCGTGCGTTTGCCTGTACCTGTGTGTGCATCCTGTGCAGGTCAGATTGCCTTATCAAAACCATTCGGTCAGAAGGATACTTTGGGATGTATAGAGGTAGGTGCTGTTATAAAGTAATAATCCCATGAAAATCAGATTTACACATTTTTCCCTTACCCCAGATGTTGTCAGCTAAGAGTGTGTTCACATTTGGCAGGTTTGGTTTGTCTTAAAGAAAGCCTTGTGCTTTTATTTCTCTGTTATTATGATTCATTAGAACAAGTCAGACTGCACCAGTAAGCGGATTAAGACCACCTGAGAAGGTCGGCCTCAGTCTGCTTTCAGACTAATTCTGATGCAGTTTGTTTGTAGTATGAATGCAAAATGAACCAAAGACGTCTAAACGAATCAATCACAGAATGGCACATAGGTAGTATTATGAAATATGCTACAAACATCACTGTTCAGATCAATTATGTTATACATTAATGTGTCAAGTTTTCCACATAAAAGCAGGAAGGCACACAAAACGTGTTTTCACAGTGATTTCAACCCGATTTGTGTTGTAGGAAAACCAGAGAAATGTGTGGATGGCTTATTGCTCTAGAATGTCACAATACAGTTAAAATAAGACATAAATAAAACCCACAAGCTCAGTTAGGCTGGAGTATAGCATGATTTAGAAAGTTTATTGGATATTATCCAGGTTATTAATCCCCAGTCAGTTGTTTATGTTTTAGGTAGATCAAATATGTGTGTGAATGCTAAGCAAACCAGTAGTAAAATGCAGCAGTGTATCATTTTCTGCTTTGGTCTGGACCATGGGAACTGAATTACAAATGAGTTTCATTCCAGAATGCTGTATATCTACTTGCAACAATTCAATAATAATCATATATAGCACTGATATTTCTTGTATATGTGAAGCCCACTTCCCACATATAAAAAAAGACAATTCTTGAAAGTGATCTATAATGTGTTTTGGAACAAAGACAAAATGTAAACACACCCTAAGGCATGTTTAGTCTCTAAAGCGTGCTTCTTTAGTTTTAATGAATGAATGCTAATGAAACAGCAAGTAATCAAAGCTAATGTACACCAGTTAGCATTGTGCAATCCACATGCCTAAACCACCACACGTTTGCCTCAAACCATGTTAAGCTGCTAAAGGGAAATTCCACTGATTTTTCAAAAATTCTGCACAATCGAATCATTAAGGTGTAAACAAAGTCATTGGGAGTGGTTTGATGTGAAATGATTAATTGTAGAGATATTTAATGATTGATTCCTTTACAGTTGTGGTGATAGGAACCAGGGTTTGTGATGTCTACAATGTAAATCTAGCCATTTTATGTACTATCAAGAACTATTAGTGAACCTGAACAGGTCTTCTGAGTTTTTGTATGTATGATTGATAGTAATAAAAAAGTGATAAATAAGTTTTAGTTCAGTGATATTTTGCCTTACAACATCCTGTGTGTACCTGTCAACCATTAAAGGATTTTAAGAAATATGTTTTAGGCCAAAACCGTAATTAAAACTATCTTAAAACAATGTCTCATTGATCAAGCATGTAGTAACTTTCTGGGATGTAGCTTCCATAGGCATGAAACACTTTGCATGTTTGGTTCCTGTCATCACCACTGTAAACAATTCTGACTCTGTATGTTTCTCAAGAATGGAGCATTTCACATTAAACCACTCTGTATGACTTTGTTTACATCTAAATGATTGAATTATGCAGAATTTTAAAAAATCAGTGGAATTCCCCTTTAAGTAATCACAAATGGACTTGCTTATGTGGTTTTCAACACTGTATAACTATTATCTATAAATATGAGTAAATGTACAGGAAGAAATAAAAGCACAGAGTGCCTCACAGTGAGTGCTACTAGTGTTCTTAAATATGTAATGTATTGTTGTACTTATTACCTACAACAGCCTTATGCCTTCAGTGCAAAACTAAACAAGCAAACTTCAGACACTGTGTATGTCTTTGCTGATTATATTTGACGTAAACTGTATCATTGATTCACTTTGTGTTTTATATTCTGCATCCTGTTATCTGTAAATTTCAAGACAAGCTTCCTCTGAATAGTGGAACTGTTTCCGCTCTGTGGTGTTTTTTCAGGGGCTGCGGTGAACTTAACTCTCGTTACTCCAGAGAAAGCCATAAAGCTGGCAGCCAATGATTTCTTCAGATTCCACCTTTCCAAGGACGGGTGAGACATGTATACACACAGTATTCCCCCGTGTTGGGGAAATGCATTCAAACACACATACATGCACAAAGAACATAAGTGTTTGTGTATGAAATGTACAGCCAGCCTTCATGAATGCAAGCTTTAAATTGTACTGTAAAAATACTGTACATGCCTCCACTGTAGGAACATCTGGAATCAATTGTTCATAAGGAAAGGCATAGTGTTACAAAGCTTAGGCTGATATCATATGGCAGACATTAATATTAAACACAGGCAGTCCACAGTAACTACCCACAAGTCTCTGCTCAAATGACTCCCCAATCGACCTTCACTGGCCAAGACTGCCGTCCATGCACGTCTCCATAGCGACCAGAAACAGTGTTGGTGAATTATTGACTGGCTTGTCCCAGGCAGAGCGTAAATTATTAAATAGGTTCAGGGGTTCTGTGTGTGTGTATGTATGTATGTATGCTTTGATCAGTGGAACAATCATATACATGTGTATTGTTTATTTGATTGTGTTATGATTTGAAGGGGAATTCCAACTATTTTTCAAAATTTCTGCCTGATCAAATGGTTAAGATGTAATGAAAGTCACTCAGAGTGTTTTGATGGGATATGCTCTGTTCTAGAGAAACTTTCCAAGTCAGATTTGTTCACAATGGTGGTGATAGGAACCAGACATCTGAAGCGTTCAATGCCTCTAAAAGCTACCATACAGAATGTTATTACATTAAGTGGTTTTGAATACACTGCCTAACTGAGACATTGTTTTCCTATAGTTTTGAAATTTTGGCCTGAAACAATTTTTTTTAATTCATCTATGGTGGAAAGGTACATGCAGGGCACTATAAGAAAAAGTAATACCAAGATAAAAATTAGATTTAGATTTTTAAATTTTACCATCATCAATAATATAATATAAAAAAAACTCAGAAGACAGGTATAGGTTCGCTGGTGGTTGTGGAGAATAAAGAATGGCTTTATTTACGCTATAAACATCAAAACCTGGTTCCTGTCACCACCACTGTGAAGAAATTCTTACTATGTACATCGAATGTATGTTTCTCTACAATGAACCATTTCACAGCAAACCACTCTGAATGACTTTGTTTACATCTCAATAAAATTTTGCAGAAATTTTGAAAAAAAAACAAACAAAACAATAGAATTTTTATTTAATGTTGCTCTGTGTCTGTCTGAATATCTCTTTCTCTCTCTCTCTCTCTCTCACACACATACACACATATACACACACTCTATCTCACACTCATTCTCTATTTCAGGCAGAAGCTCACGTTGCTCAGAGAAATGCTGGCAGGCTGTGGTGCAGGTACATGTCAGGTTAGTTCACAGTCACTTTCTGTTCTTCATCTGCTTTAAGTGTGAACTGCTTTTCACCCACTCTCTCTTTCACACACACACACACACACACACAGGCACACACAATGTGACGTAAATAACAATTACCAGCTGGTGCTGGTTGTCCAGAAGAGAATAATTAGCTGAGTAATAGCCTTGAAAGCACAACACGAGCGCAGTAGATGCAGGTACACACATTAAAACATGCATAACGCTATCAGACACATAATTCATGCAGATGTACTCAAGAACATGAACAGCTGGAGATTTACACCTACTCACCATTACATATACCAGGGTTTAAACTTGAGATGACACTGATCCGATGCCAGGTATCAGTATGGATTACCAGAATACAAGGATTCTCTGTGTTCTCAATTTCTCAGTTTCTGACAAATTTTTCTGGTCGAAGTGTTTTGGATTTCGAACTGTACAAACTCTGTACCTGCTTTAGCCATATACCCGCCATGTACGCCAACAACATCTGCATGTGTATGCGTCTAATGCTCCGTCCTTGCCATTGTCTTGTGTGTAAGTACCTTATTATATCCACATGAGCAGGGGTCAGTCTTCAACTCCAACACACCTAAGTGTCAGGGTCGACTCTTGACCAATGACTCAAAAAGCATGGATTTTCATCATATCACTGTGATCTGTAGCTACTTAGAAATTGTGTAAACTACATTTAGAATGGTTTTTCCCTTTGTCAATGGCTCTGACACTCTTGGCTATAATAAAGTGGGGTCGAGGAGTCTGCGACAAATTCTTTACTTGTCAGAATTATATATAGAATTGCTGGTGTAGTACACCTGGCTAGTGGCCATGTAGGCTGAATAATTTAGCTTGTCCCCTTTCTTGCCTTGAAAAAGAACATTAAACCCATGTTGTTAAGCAGTCTGAGATGCTTTTGGATCCAGAAATTATCCAGTGATCACAACCAAAAGTAATAATATTGATTTCTGTGCTAATTCTAATGAATGTTGTTGAGGTTTAAAAACTTCTGCACTTGTGATTTTGGTTTCACATGAAGCACTTAATTAAGAACTGATAACTTAACTAAGAATATTTGACCTGGAATTACTCAGGTACAGAGTATGTGAGGCTGTGATGGTTATTATGGCACTCAGCATCCTGTTATTCTATCATAATGAGCAGACCGTGATATTAAGTATTGAATATTTGTGAAATGATTTTTATGGCGCTGGTCCATAAGTATGAATTGTTAGCATTTATGTGGAGCACTCGTGTTTGTTAATGACAACCATAGTGTCTTTTCATTCTTCTTAATGCAATTAGTGTCTTACAATACAATGCTCCTAGTCATGTGATACTGCATGAGTCAGTCAGACATGATCGGATTCCTCACGAGTGAAGACAGTGGTCACTGTGGGCTAAGTGATGTGATTGTGATAGTGGATAGCGATTGTGGATTAGCCTGCATTGACCACATGGTCTTTCCTGACACTTACGTCTTACTCATAATCCCATCAACCTGTGACTGGTCAGAGAGAGAGGCGAGAGGAACCTTGTGATTGAAGACCTTGTCTTACTTTAGATTAATGTAATATAATCTTAATTGACATTTTTCTAACACATGGGTTAACAGCATGTGTTTGAAGGTGACTTGGTAGTGTGGCGTTGTTTATGTGCATGCATTCTGTCTTTTTATGGCTCTATAGCAGTGACAAAGGTTTAGAGCAGGTTGTGCAGAGGCAGCAGCCTTTAATGGGCTTAAGTATGGTTGGCTGGCCGGTCCTCCTGTAAAAGTGGTAGCTGTGAACCCACCCCGTGATCACATGCTCTGTTCTATTAAGGCTGATAACTAGTAGTGGCGTCTCTGATTCAATACCAGTTATTGATATTAGGCCGATTTCAGCTGAAAATACTGAATCGGATATGAGGGGAGCAAAAAACAATGAACCTGATTCAATCCTGTAACAGATCTAGCCTTAAATGTCGCACCTTCATGCTATGTGATTTCCTAAATGAAAATATGTCAATGCATCCTCTACAGAGAACACATTTCTGCACTGTTTATTTGCTGAATTGGAGATGCTCTGTCTTAGATGTTTCTTTATCTCTCTGTCTGTGTGATTGACAGGTCATTGTTACAACGCCGATGGAGATGCTGAAAATCCAGCTGCAAGACGCAGGGAGAATTGGTGAGAGACCAAAAAAAGGCAAAGTGGAGTGAGACAGAAGAGAGGAGGGAGAAGGAGTGAAGACGAGAGGAGGGAAAAGGAGGGAGGATGGGAGTAGCACAACCATCAATAGATTATAAAACACTGCCCTCGTGTGTCCAACATCACATACAGCAGCCATTTAAGCTGTAAAATGTGCTGCAATAGTGTTCAGATTACTAAAATGTCTGCACTGTGAAGCTACTAACAGTAATATAAGTAAAATAAAACTAACTTTAAGTTTCCAGCTTAGTGGTTTCAATCATTATCACTACTGACCCCATGTACCAGTGAAAATTAACTCCTTAAACTGCAGTCTCATTATTCTGGATTATTATCCAGTAAATACTCAGAGTCACTCATTAACTACTATAAAACTACAGTTTAAGGCAGGGGCCTTAAAGTCAAACAAGGCCAAAATGGGGAACAGAAATGTGGCCTGTTTGGAGGGCTCTGAGGATCGGTTTAAAAACCACTCATTCTTTTTCCAACAATTCTTTAGGCATCTCCAGCCATTAATACCTCTGATGATAATAATAGTGAGCTGAACACTGTCATTAATGTCTGTGCCAATGCATCTGGCATCTGTGATGCACAGGCCATTAATGTCAGTTCTTTCACCCAGCTTTATTAGTATATTAGATGTGGAATCAATCCCCACTCACTGATGTACGAGGTGATAGTGTTAGTTATATTTAGCTGCTACATAGTTAAAAACATCTGTATTATATTGCTCCCCTCCGACCCAGAAGGATAAGTGGCTTAGAAAATGTGTGTGTGTGTGTGTGTGTCTCAGACTTGATGTATGTAATCACACAAGTCTGGTTTAACCTTGATTCAGTGTAGATTTAACACAGGTTCAGTCAGGAGTTTGATTTATTAGTGATGTAGTGATGCTGGGGGAATGATCTGAGTGTGTGTGTGCTGCTGTCCACAGCTGCTCAGAGGAAGCTGATGCCACAGGCTGTAGCCCCTGGTGGTCCAGTAGAAGTGAAGTCCCCAACAGCCATGCAGCTCACACGGGAACTGCTGAGGGAAAAAGGCATAGCTGGTCTCTATAAAGGGCTTGGAGCCACACTGCTCAGGTATTATACACACACACCCACACACACACACACACACACACATACACACACACACACACACACACACACACACACACATATATGCATGCAAACACAAGTCCAGTAAGACCGGATTTTGGTAGTTTTGCTAATTCAGCTACTTTTCTTTTAGCTCTCTGTTGCTTCTTTTCTCTATCTCACTCTTTTTCCCTGACTCTCTCCATCCAGGGATGTTCCTTTCTCAATCATCTACTTCCCTCTGTTTGCTAATCTCAATAACCTGGGCAAGAAGGGGGCAGAGGGGCCTGCTCCATTCTACGTCTCCTTCATATCAGGCTGCATCGCTGGCAGCACGGCTGCTGTGGCCGTCAACCCTGTAGATGGTGAGTACCAGATGGTGGGATTAGGACAGGGGACCACCAGGACAAAAAGGTCCACCCTGCAGAACAGTTCAGGCACAGAGGTCTCCACAGAAACAGTAGTGATTAGAATATAGGTGGGGCTGGGTGATATGGTCAAAAATTGTTTCACAGTATATTTTTCCATATGAGTCAGCATTGTTGATTATTAGTGATATATATAGCACGTGTGTTTCCTAATGCTCAGTTTTATAGTATTCTATTATAGTATAGTATTATAGTATTCTAAACTCTGATATCCTACATTAGCACCACATACCTAACATTGATGAGATTGTTGTAGTTGCGCTGGTTAAACCATCTCTATGCAGCTGGTATACATCATGGCAGTACAAAAAGCTGCTATGGTGTAGTGTACATTTTAGGAAATCTTCACACCACAGCACCAGATTTCCGACCAGAAAACAAAACGACTTTGGTCTCGAGAAAAACACAGCTGAATAAGAAGCCAGAAACAGGACTTCAGAGAAGAAGGCAAATGAATAGGCTAAGTGGCCAGACCATAAAATTTGTGTGAAATTCGCTATTCTGTTCTTTCTTACTATAGTAAGAAGAAAAGTTATATACAGTTTTGCGGCCAAATCAAAGATAACAGTATACTACAACCTCAGCTTAGGCTGAAATGTGCTTTATTATGCTCTTTTTTGACGAAGATTAAGATTCAGCACACATGATCACACACCTTGCCTATTCTCGTTGCTCTGCGCGTCATCTAATTTAAGAAATCTGAACCCCTTCTATTTTCCATAGTCTTCTCTTCTCACAGACGTTTTCCTCAACATCATGGCTTTTTTCAGTAAACATAACTAAACATAACCTAACATAACTCAAAAAATAGCTTGTTAGCCAATGCTTCTGAGTAAATGCATCACCTAGTGTACTGAAGTAGCCACTGTTCAGTACTAGCCTTGGGTGCTAATGTTGGACTGAGGAGCAGATATAATCATTAAATTGGAAAGACGTTTGGATCATTGCTGCCATCACTGTTGTGTCTTTACAAAGCATTTTCACAAAACACATATCAGGTTTTAGTTTTGAGAAGGCTGAAAGATTGGGGACTGGCAGTGTATTTCTCCACAGGACACATGTTTTTGACAGGACAGTGCAGGACAGTACAGGAACAGTGTAGGAAAAGTGGACAGGACAGGGCCATAAAAGAGTAAATTTGCTCTAGTAAGTACAATCAGTCATTCAGTAATGTGACAGTATTTATGTATTATGTATACTTGTTCATTCAGTACTGTATTTGTTTGTGTGTGTTACAGTGATTAAAACCAGGTTACAGTCTCTAACACGTGGCAGTCAGGAGGACACATACAGCGGAGTGACTGACTGCATCAGGTGACTTCATTCTGTCTTCTTTCTCACTGGCTACTGAGGGTGACCTCTCCCCCCTTTTTAATTGGCTCTGACAGCACGATTTGCTATCAGTCTAAAGTTAAGCTTTAGAGAGCTAATCTTTCCAGTGATATCTGTCATCATCAGATAACTCAGCACTTAGCACCTTCAACGCTGTCAAATCCCAAATCTGCCCCATTTCAAGTGAAAAAATGTAATATTTTATAAGAACAGAAAGAATAACAGCCTTTTTTATTTATTATTTGTTACAATTTAGTTTGGAATCACTTATAAATGTAGTCAATAATAATCCTTCAACTTTATTTTTAACTCAACTTTATGCAGTGAAGTTTAAAATATAATAAACTAGACACGAAGCTATTTTTTAAATGTCAAGTCAGTTTTCAAGCTTTTGGAGAGGAAAAATCAGTTTAAATGTAGTTGTTTAATACTGTAATTATATTTTTATAGACATTTGTTGTCAAGTTATCTACCTTCAGGTTTGATGATCACCTTTCAAATACAGCTTTTGGGATGCACTAAATTTGAAACCTATGACTATGTAGAGTACTAGCATCATGTTAGTTAGACTCATTTTAAACATTTGTCTGCAACAAAATTGTTTTTGTATTATTGCAAACAGTGATTCCAAACGTTTTATGATCGTGTACATTATATATTCATTTCTGAGACATCAATGAGATGTCCTGTTAATATTGGACCTGCTTGAACTCATTACAGGAAGATTCTGCGGAACGAGGGTCCATCTGCCTTCCTGAAGGGGGCGTACTGCCGTGCTCTTGTCATCGCTCCGCTCTTCGGCATTGCCCAGGTGGTTTACTTCCTGGGCGTGGGTGAATTCATCCTCGGCTTCTTGCCCAAACGGAACAACTAACCAGTCAGATCTGCTTTCTGCCTTCCCATCTGCACACACGCTGCACCAGTCAGACCTCGTCCCTTCCCCCCCTTCACATCTCCTCTGCTCGCGTCACCTGAGGACCACGTGATGTGAGACCACGTTAGTTTTGTTTGTTTGTATGTTTGTGAGGTTTTGTTAAAGTAGGTGTACATTTCTATATGAATGTGGTGATCATGAGGAGCTGAGAGGGGTTCAGAGGGAGTGGTTGCCAAGATAGTCCTCAGCTGAGGCTCAGGCCACATAACGTTCTCATTTATGAGCCCCATCATTTCTGAAATGAAAGCATCATTGCTGTTTTAGTAATTGATTTGATTATATGGTTTGTGGAGATTCATATCAAGTCTCTTTTGACTCAAGATATTTATTGCCCAGTTTATGTTCACTGTGTCTGTTGTGACAATATGGAAAATAATGACTTTGTTAGGTATGAGGTAGATTACTAAATGGACTTGATGGAGGTGTAATCTTGAATTTAACTTCTGGAACAGACAGAAATGTATATGCTGTTTGAGAACCTTGACTGGATTAGCTGCTTTTCACAATCCCCGTTGGAATGTCTGGCCGTGAATGACCTCCGGACAGTGTTTGTGTGAGGATTTGCAGGTTGGTGTGTGAGGCAAAAGCTGTTTACAGTCCCAGACTGACTGCATGTCTGGGTAAACATGCTCACATACTGAGTTCAGTGTCTGATGGTTAGAGTTGGTAGCACCTCCCTTGCCATCTCCCACTACAGCAATTACAGGTTACATATCATAGAGAGAAGAGCTGATTGAATAATCTAAAAGCAGGCATCAACTGTGGCATTATGGCTTTTCATATGACATTGAAGGAGCAATTTGTAGCAGTTTCCAGTTTTGCTTGTTAGTTGTAATACTGCTGCATTTACAGGCCATCATTCAGTACCACTATGTGAAGGGCTGATTTCTTCTGCTGTGTGTTCTAGATCCAGGTGCTTCCTCCCTTGAGACTTACTTCCTTGCAGAGTAACCTCTGCTCCACTGCACCTGGATAAGTGCTGATTACTGGAGAGCCATTTATATAATGGACAAGTACTGTGTGTTACTAGGTTGCAAATGTGATGATTATGGAGTTGTTTTGCCCTCTGCAAACACAGAAAATGCCCCGTCATTTTTGAATGTGTGTTTGTGAATGTTGCATTTGCTTTGATTGTCATAGATCTGTCTTCATGAGTTGGTAGATCTTCACAAACGTCCTTATTTTCTCAGTGTGATATGTCTCATTACAGTAATTCCAGTTGCTGCTAGCAGGCTTTTGAGTAAAGGACAAAGCCTATAGAAGGATGCTGCATGCTGAGCCATCCCTTTGTATCACCGAGTAACACAGTGACAAAAGTGTCTAATCTCATCATCCTTATGTAACAGTGATTTTAAAAATTTTCCTTTGGATCGAAATGGAAACTGCTACTTAATGCGCCTTTAATTTGATTTAACAAACCCATCATACTTCCATCATTCCAGCCTTTGAGCTTGTAAATATAGTAACATGTCTTTACACTGTTCTTCAGTGGTGGCTGTTGGCAGTGGTTTAAAGCCCCAGTCAGGAGTCACTGCAGCTTGCTGGCCAGTTATTAATACTGCAGCAACAAAGGCTTTCAAATAATAGCAGTGGTTCCTGGGGGGTGGATGTGGCACTGTTTCGGCTATTTCTGACTGAAGCTTTAGAACATGGTGCTATAGAGCGGAGAGGGTTCAATCCAGAGTCCTGGGGGACCCCCACCAGTCCACATCTTTGTTATGTTCCAATTCCTAATGCACCTGAGCCAGGTAATCAGCATTCTACAGCCTCAGTGACCTGGCTGAGGTGTGTTTGGAGCTGGCGGGTGGTCCCTGAGGAATGGATTGAAAACAGCTGCTATAGAGGATGGTTGGAGTATGGAATATTCTCAGTATCTGTCTCCCTCTCCAGTGTCCACAAACTGAACTGCCATTTAGATTAGTGTCACTTTATTCCAACAGACAGAAGAACTTCATGAAGGCCAAATAAATGCAGAAGATGAGTGTCAGGTAGCTCCTCCTTACCAATGAAGTAATGATCATGCTCATTAATTGCCTTTGTTTTTCCTTTTGAGATTTTCATTTCATATCTAAGCATTGTATGTATGTGGTGGACCATGGCGTGTCATTGGCTGGTGAAAGATGAAGGTGACTTTGAAGAGTGATGTCCAATCACCTGCTCTCTTTATTCAATGTGTAGTAATAAGGGCAAAAGCACATGATGAGTGATGTTCCTAGGCGTTCTTATCTGTTGAGAGTGAAAGCGTATTTATCAAGATTCCTTATGACTATATATATATATATACAGTATATATACATATATCTATATATTTGTATCAGTTGTTTTATTGGTGTCTGTACGTTCACTGTCGATTACTGTATGATGTACATTTGCAGATTATATGAATTCTGTTTTTTTTATATTGTTATTTGATGGCTTATTTTGCACACTTACCTCCCCCTCCTCTTGCTCTGTTATTATTTTTTTTATTGATAGTTGAATCCAGGAACACTAAATCTGAAAGAGGGCACTATAAATAAAGGAGAACTGTCTGAAGTTTACAAGGAAGTATTTGCCACATTTGGAGCAGCAGACTGGCGTCTGGGAATCGAAACATTCTGTTGTCTCCTAATGAAAGTAGCAGACTTCCTCGTGAAACTTTTTTTCTTCTTACTTAGTCCCAAGCTGTGCAGTTTCAGCATGATAATCCAAATTTTAAGAGCCCTCCTGCTGGATAGAAGAAGTGCTGATTATGTGCTGACAAGTATTATGCAGCGTTAGGATATCTGCGCAGTGGTTAGCGAGAGATAAGGCATATATATGCAATGAGAAGCATCTGTAGCTCAAACAAGGCACTGAGGCTTTGCTTGACTCTCTCGCTTGGTGAGAGCCTATTTCATAACTGCCAAACAAAACCTTGACCAAATCACTGCACGGACAACCTTCGCTTCTAAGGCCTGCTGCAAGCCTACCTCTCTAGAGATTAGCCAGTGAGCATCCATGTGCTTGTAGATGTACAGGAAAAAGCCATTTTAAGCAGAGGTTTTTGCTGCAGGAAGTCAGAATTGGAAACTAGAAATTTGTTTACGTGGACCTGATTCCCCAATGTTAGCTAGCTAGCCTTGATTCATTGCCTGTTAGCATTAGCAAAAGTGTCCTGCTAGCCTTAGCCTCATCCTTTTAGACTTTTTAAGACGGGGTGCCTGACCCTCATCCTGGTCATCTGTGACCCTGCAGAGTTTTGCTCCAATCCAAATCTAACATGATTCAGTTACTGAAGGTGTTCAGGTCAGGATATCAAAGCCGATTGTGTTGAAACTAGAGATGGCATGACCACTTTTTCTCTTCTCATACCGAGACCGATATTGAAACTGTCATTACCAAGAATTTATTTTCTTTAAAAAATACTAAGCTTTAAAATGAGCTATGTTCAATTGAAACACTTCCCTTTAAACTGCAATGTGTAAAATTTTTTTGTAAAAATTAAAAGGGCAGCATTACTGAGTTAAGTCTGAAATAATGATTCAGAGTCAAATATGTTGGGTCGGATTTCGCAAGAGTTTTTGGGACCATATCATACGTCTTTATGTATTTATGTCACATACACACTCAAAGAGAAGACATGGCTCGATGTTTAGTTTTCTAATGCAAAATCAACACTATACTGAAGAAGGTGTGATGACGGTAATAGGTAATTCAGTCACATCATCAGAAGACACATCCTTCACTAAGTTTTGACTGAGTTTTCTTTCAAACGACAGATTAATCTGCTCTTAAAGTTATATAGTGCAGCTTTAAAATGAGAATTAAAATGTAGGCTATCATACTCTACTACCCCACAGGAAGACATGGAAAGCAAACAACATCACATCACATAACTTTAGGACAGATTTGTAACAGGACTGGAACAGATTGATTCTTTTCTCTCTCCGATATCCGATCCAGCATTTTCCGCTAATTTCGGCCCAAGACCGATACCCACCAATACCGGCATGCTGTCTCTAGTTGAAGCTAAACTCTCCAGGGCGTGATGCATGGTTGGGGATCCCTGTCTTAAGACACTTCTTTAGACGAGAATCAGTTTCACAGTGGGTTTATTTATTTACACTACAGTTCCAGGGTCGGCTGTTTGAGCTGAGCCGATAGAAACCGTCTACTGGGAAAAAAGATTGTTTACATCTGTCTCCTTCTTGCTGAGCTTTTGTCATGTGTTTCTTCTCAGTCTGGGCTTTACACCTGTTTGAACACATGACAAATCTCACTCTAGTGGCTTCATGACCCGGTCTCTTTGACTGTGCCCTTGCTCTCCACGTTTGCCTTTTGCTTCTTCTCCCAGCTGTGTACTTGTTTTCTTTTTCTCTGCACATTCCCACTGTTCTTTTTTTGTTTTCATTGTTCACATAATTGTGATTGCTCTTATTGTTTCTGTTATCTTTTGCTTTTTATTCTATATCTATTTCTATTTCTGTTTCGAATTGTGCTATTTTGAGAACTCTGGTTTTAATTGTGACAATGTCAGATTGTTTTATCAGCTGTGAACTTTGACTGTAATGTGGAAAATGGTGGTGTATTGTGTGGGGTTGTGTACGGTTCGTGTGCGTGCGTGTGTTTATATGTATGTGTGTGTATGTGTGCGTGCGTGTGTGTGACTGTGTAGTGCATTTCTTTTTTTGTCACTGTAATGCTGAATTGTAAGCCCCCCGACTATCTCACCATCTCCTCTCCTGTGTCTCCTATCTGTCCTCCTTTTGACTGGAATAGAAAGAGGCGGAGGAGACGGAGACATAAACACCAAAAATAACATTTATTTACAATCGAAACAAAGCAAGAAGCACAAAGAATGATCAGGCACAACCACTACACTGCACACTGCACTACACACATGCACTCTAATAGCCTCTTGGTAACGTATAGACCTTATAATCCTGACATAAATAACTAGATTACTGTAGTATGGCACTAGTAGTTCTATTTTTTTTTTTCATAGCACAGCCTATAAATGTATTGCTTACTTATTTTAAATGTTATGACAAACCAGAGAATGTACCTTTGAATACTATGACTAATGTTGAAAGATAGGAAATGTTTTTCATTGAGTAGTTTATATGTAAGGTATAAGATTTGACCTCATGTCATGTCTGTAAGAGAAATATGTATAAAATATATGACAACCAGCTTATCTATATGCAATAAAGAAGAGACAAACACAATACATAGCAGCAGTAACCCACTACTATATAACACAGCTTTTACTGATTATATTGAAGGCCGTAGAACTCCCACAACTCATAGCGCTTTCGTTCTCTTCCTCCAAGAGGAACAGTGCAATGAAGCACTTTAAAACACTTACATACATACACGCACACACACACAAAGTTCTTGAAGTTCATGTCTCTCTGTGATGGGGAGATGTGTGTGAAAACACTTGAGTGTGAAAGCTATGAAACTGAAATACTGCAGTCGTCTTAGTCATTGTTTACCATGCAGAACGTGAAGACAGTCCAAATGTTGCATTCCTTGTCACAGATTGTTGTTCAATAAACTTTTATCATGAGGACCTTGCCTGCTTGTTCTTGTGTTTTATGAAGAGTCAGAGATGATTAAAACACACTTATTTTATCTACTAATTATTAAATTATCAAAATCAAGAGAACTGCAGTCTGGTGGAAGAAAGATTCTTAAAATAATGACTTAAGTAATGTATCTAAGTGCAGGCTTTTCAAGGTCATTGCTCTTGTGTATTTTCATGTGTGGCCACCAGATGTCGCTCTAGCACTACACAACATTGTCCTTAAAACCAGACTGTAAACGTCATCAGGAAGATGTAAAGTACATCTTACAAAAAAGAAAAAGTACTAGATGTACAGAGGTGTAAAAATACAGCGGTATATATAAAAATATAGTGGTTCTATTTTAACAGCAACCCCAACGCTACACATGGGGGGTCTAGCTATAGTGCTGTAGGCCAAAGGCTCATAAACTCACAGGATCCACATTTATGTGCTCTCCTTCATCCAGCACACTTGATTGAACTCATTTGCTAATGAACCCCATGTATGCTGGGTCAGGTGTGTTAGAGTAGAGAGAACACAAGGGGTCTCCACTGGTGTAAACTCCAGTCCTGGAGGGTCTTAAAGGAATAGCTTGGCAAAAAAGTGATGATTTACATGATTTTCCACTTACTGCAAATGCAGTCAATCAGCCATGACATGCTTGGTGTCCAAATTTTGATTCCTTAGCCTTGAACTGGAGCTGCTGGGCTAACGCTGCTAACAAACACTGGAAGAGAGTCATCACCCAAACCGTTTCTGTAAATACATGCCCCAAAACTTCTTTCACTCTGCTTATAGCGCATTCAGGTCTTAAAGGCCCTGCACACTTGCTTTTTTAAAATCTGTGAAAAGCAAATATTTCAGCAAACAGTTTTATGTATTTAATTACCCTCTATTTTTCCCCAAAAACAATGTTAAAAGGAGTGGTTTGTATTTTCTTTCTTCACTGTTGCTTTTTACCATTCTGCTGTGGGGGCCTGGGGGCCTGGACCCCAGTGGGTTGATTGACAGCCTCTGCGTCAAACGTAACCACCTGGATGGGCGGGCACAGGCAGACTGTAACTGCTGCAACATTTAAGATGGGACAGGAAAGCTCGAAAAACAAGCTGGCGAGTGGAACAAGAAAAGCTAAATGTGGGAACTCAATGACTATTTGCAATTTCAAAAATCTCAGTGTATCCTGTCATATAAAGCCATAAAAATAACTTGTAGCTGACTTGCATCCTAGATGCAAAACATTTGATGGCTGGTAGCTAACGTTAATGTTAGCAAGCTAAATTAGATAACACTAGCTAGCCATTCGCTAGCTACATTATACATAAACTGTCAAATAAAAATAAGATTTACCATCTTATCATCCACAATGCCTTCAGTAAGTGTTGGGAAAGCTGTTCCTTTTAGTCCGAGCTGTATTGAGGCCAATTTTCAATTAAGTAAAAGCTTGATACAAACTCTTATACTGGGTGTCACCTTAACCCCAGAAAGAAATTTGAGCCATTTTGATTTGGTCTTGTCATTTGGAATAGAATGTAGAGAGTGGCCATTTTCCCTGCTGCATCCAAAAACTGAGCATTTGTAGATGAGTGCCTTCTCCTACTAGCTATAACGTTACTCCAGTAGAGTGATGTGGAGTGTGGAAAGTGTGGAAGGGTCAGTTGATTTTACAGTTCATGAATACGCAGTATAAGTTAGCTTATGATTTATTGTAGTCAATTAGTGTTATCTGTGCTGTCTACGATCACAGCAAATAAAGTGTAATTCTTAAATGGTGGTAAGGGGGCAATATACAAACATATAAAAAAATCAGTGGTTATTTTAGTGCCCAATAAATGTTGGACTGAAGCAGAACCATTAGCATAACCACATACTTTCTGCTAATATTACATTTTGAGCAAGGATAAAAAGTACTGTGCTGGGTCTTTAGTCCAGGTTGTGGTAGGAACCCAGCAGGACTCACTCCAAACTATAAAATGAAAAAAAAAAAACTTCTCCATGTAGCTGAAAGAAGGCTCGGCCATTTAGGATATCTTTAATTACTTCCTGAGCACAATTTGGTATCATTCCATGCAAGACATCCAAAGACAGGGCAAAGGGAATTCACGACACAGACCGTAGAGAAGCTGAACAGCTCTACTCAGAAAGTCAATACAATGTCTAATTACGGATTTGAGCACCACATTTTCTGCACGAATGAGCCTCAACCTTACATTGGGACCTGAGTATACATATGAGAAAATACATCAGTTTAATGCTGGAACTCTTGAGAGAAATGAAGAGAGATAAAAATTAAACAGCACTGACCTCAAATTCACTTCTTTGAGGTGTCCTCTGTATAAATGTACTTGTTACAGCTGCAGATCTTAGAATATCCCACTGGAGACCTTGTAATCATCCACTGAGAAGTGATCACCACATACTCTCTTGCTAGTTTGTGGTTCATTGGCAAAAGCCACAGTTTGCATGCGTCTGCATTAATAGGAAATCAGTGGGAACGTATCAGACTACCCATAGATTCCTTTGTTGTGTTCTGCAACACCTCATTTTTTGTAGGTTTATTGTTATTCGATCTGCAACTTCTATCTCTTTTCCAGTACGCAAGCTTAAGGTATTACTCTGCTAATGCTACATACCATCATAGTGACGTTTTAGTACACAATCCTGTGCTTCAGCCTCCCTGAGTAAGAAGGCGGAATAGTATCGGAAACTGAGATGTTATGTGGATGATCATTTTAGCTTAAGTGTGTAAATAAGTTCTAGAGCAGGGGTGCTCAGTCCTGGTCCTGGAGATCTACCACCCTGGAGATTTAAGAGCCAATACACCTGGCTATAAAAACAGGTGCCTCTAATGTCCTTCATTCATCCCTTTTTATGAGTTTACCTTGCTTATTAGCATAATTGGAAGCAAATATATGAAGATTTAGGCATGTATATAAGTGATTATTGACTTCCAGTGTTTGTTCATACCGTCAGAAGCTCCAAGTTTAAACTAAAGAAGCAAAACGTGGTCACCATGTTTTAGCTGATCGACTGCATTTGGGCCAAGTAGAAAATGTAAATGCAAATTTAATTATTTGCCAAACAATTCATTTAATATATAACAAAAATATATATTTTATGTACGTTATTGTATATGAAAAAGTGCAACATGACCATTTTTTAGACATTAGATTGCAGTAATTAGCAGCAATTAATTGAGCTCTGTGAGGACAGGAAACAGACATTTACCTACACTTACACAGAAGAGCAAGATAGCCTTCACAAGATTACTAAAATGAGGCCTTATTTCATGGTCAGGTTTCATATTGACGGTTGTAACACACTATAGAGCCGCCTCATCATATACAGCTCCACCTCAGGCTACTGTTTACTAATATTAGCACTCTCCATATCGAAGGCCAATGCAATCAGAGTAAAATGCAATTTATTTGCACATATTCTCAGTTTGTTAGACAAACAAACCCCCTTCATTTGAGTGCACATCTTATTCCAAGCATCCTTCTTTTTAAGCTTTCTAGGAGCTCACTAGAGACTTGATCTGCTTTCCTAGCAGTGAAATATGAGCTGACCTCTGGTTCTGTTCTCTCATCATGTCAGGCCTGTACATGTCATACATCTCCATTATTGCACCGTGTCATTGTGCTGTCCTTGGCAATATCGACACGGCCCCTTCATCATAATGTAAAACTATATAACATAATCATATCATCTCACTGCACACACCGCGCTGCCTTTGTAGTGTCCTTGATAATGCAGAGTTAATTAAGTACGTATCCGTGCATAATTGTGTGTGTGTGTATCTGTGACTGTATATCCAACATCTCCCTCTTTGCTTCTTGTGGCCGCTCTGAGCCTCCACCCTGAACTATTATTAGCCCTTCTCCACTCAAGCCCGAGAGAGAGAGAGAGGGAGAGAGAGAGAGAGAGAGAGAGAGAGAGAGAGAGAGAGAGAGAGAGAGAGAGAGAGAGAGCAAGGGAGAGAACACAGACAGGATAAGTGGAGCTGAAAGTAAGAGGGAAATAGAGGGAGTGTGTATGAAGAGGTGAAGACAGAGGAATGACCACTGATGCACAGAGGAGGAGGGGGGTGAGGAGCAAGAGAGACAGAGAGTGGTGATGTGTATATAGGTCACTAAATCAATGGAAATCAGGTTTTTCGAGAGGAGAAGATGGGGATGGGGATATTTATAGAGAGAGAGAGAGAGAGAGAGAGCGAGAGAGAGAGAGACAGAGAGAGAGAGAGAGAGAGAGAGAGAGAAAAGAGAGAAATACATCTGTGACAAGAACAAAGATGCAGCAGCACCCACTGCCTGAGAAACCGCACACCCAAATGAACACAAACCATGTTTCTGTAGGGCTGATTGTAAATGTATGCTGCACAAACTGGAACGCTACAAACAGGAAAGTGACTTCAGCACCATCAAATGACGCACTAATATACAAAAGCACTAAAGGCAGCACAGCACTACTGTTACTGTCACTAGTGTAGACTGATAAGCTTTGGAGTACAAAGCAGCATCAGCACCTGGCCTGTGTGCAGATGTTATGTTCTGTCCTCAGACATTTAATAACGCAGCAGGTTTAATAGAGTCTAAAGACTCATGGTTCTTGCTTACCATCAATCAGATGGCAAAGCAGTAGCTATTCTATTCTCTTATTAGTTATAAGAGGCTTTGTCTAACAACAGTTCACAGTAGAGGTGATAGGAACCGGACGTCTGAATAGTTTAATGCCTTTAAAAGCTCCCTCACAGGAAGTGATTACATGAAGTGGTCATGAATACACTGCCTGATGACTGAGACAATGTTTTCTGATAGATTTTGGCCTAAAACATATTAAAGATATTAAAGCCATTCGAATTTTGTTTATATTTAGCTTATATTTAGCTTATTGCTATCTTAATTCATGATTTGGGTTTAAATAGATCATCATGTAATCTTTGCAAATATCTAAGGTCTGAGTACTTGTTGTTTTTTAATCGTTTTTTTTTTTTACTGTGGGACTGTAGTAAAAACTAGTGCAATGAATTCAATACAGTGGTCCATATAGAGCCTTCTTCAAGACAAAAAAAAAAACAATTGTGAACATTCACAATAAAACAGCTACAAATACAGATAATTCAAACTCTCCAACAACAATATGCATCTCTTAGAAGAGATTTAAAAGACTTCAGCTGCTCAGATGCTAACAGGGAGCTGATTCCACAGGGCCGGAGCAGCAGAGGAGAAAGCCTGGTCTCCAGAACCAGAACCATCCATTTTATAACATACATTAACATAGTAGCTAGCATCGCTCCTAAACCGACTCCAAGTTAAACATGCCCTGCTCGGCACAGCATGCAATTTACAGTGCTGAAAATGACGGGGCTTTGGCCCATGCTCTAATTTACTGTGTGATACTGAGAGGAACATGCTTAAAGACATGAGATTACTCAGGGTGCGGTAGGAGGGGGGTCTCTGAGCTCTTCCGCTGCCAGCCAGCAGATGGGGAATTAGATAGGAGCTGTGTGACCACTGTGGAACTCCAGTGATAAATTCAGGAAGCCTTCTGACTCAGAGGCACCCACAGCATGGCCCAGGAGGAGGCTAGCTGCTCAGCCAATATGCAGGAGCACAACTGGCTTACATAACTACTATCATTCATAGTGCTTTCATTGAACCAAACTGATTGGAACATAGTTAATGGATTAGTCTCCATTCTGCCAAAAAGCTACAGATGATATCCAACTCAGCGAGTCAACACGGTTCTGCCTCTGACCCTGAAGGAAAGCCACAGTAAGCATGACTGAGCAGGAGCCTTTAGGCCACAGATTTACTGAGCTGGGCTCTGCACGTAAGTAATGTTATATTGCAGGCACTGAGTCAAGGGCCAGATGACATTATTACACACATCACTGGCTGGGGAGCCATCCATATAACGGCTTTACGCCACTGTAATAGAGAAGTGTTTAAAGAGTCTGTGCTGTAGATGCTTTAGTGAATGAGCCTATGCTTAACCTCCGTAACCTTATTAGTCAGCTATTAATCTTAAAGGCAAATTCCACCCATTTTTCCAAGTTCTTGCATAATTCAATTATTGAGATGTAAACAAAGTCATTCAGAGTGGTTTGATATTAAATGGTTAACTATGGGGAAACTTACAGACTCATATTTCTTTACAATGGTGGTGATAGGAACCAGAACAGAACATTTCACATCAAACCACTCTCAATGACTTTGTTTATATCTTAACCATTTAATTACGCAGAATTTTTGAAAAACTGGTGGAATTCCCCTTTACGAAATTTCTCTGTAACTACTATATATAATCCAGCTACTACTCTGAACCTAAAAGTAAGTTTTGCAGTTACAAAGGTGAGGTATGGAAGTGTGCCCCTGCTTCTATTATGAGTGTGTTTTGAGCTAAACACACTTTCTGACCTTTAGTCCTTTAGTTAAACACAGTGGAAGTAGCTTGAGCTCACAGAATTAACAGTGTGCTACCTGATTGGGGTTCACCATCTGACATTATTCAACAGCCCCACTTGCTGTTACCAAAAACACAACTGCCTGCATTTTTAGTGTTTGTGAGTGAACAGGTACGTTCCCACCTGACATCTATTAACACGAAGATCAGCTCCCAGAGGAGACACTTTTTGTTGAGATTGCATGAACTGTTACTTTGCAGTCTCCATCTTAGCCCTTTCATTTAATCACTGCCTTGTCTATCTTGGCAACCTGACAGCTAAGACACCCTAACTTTAAAGGCCACCGCTTCGCTGAGCAAAGCAAGGGGACGCTTGCCTTAGACACTCATTAACCCACAGACAAACAGAACACAGAACACAGATTAGGCATGAGATAAAAACCCATGGATAAACATTGTAATGAGGATCATTCTAGTCTGTTCTACCAGGGTGGGGATTTAGTTTATACTAGGGGTATGACAATACAGTGTGTCATATTGTATCACTAGGGGTGTAACGAGACAATGCATCATATTGTGTCACTAGGACTATTGCGATACAATGTATTATATTGTATCACTAAGGGTAAATCAATACAACATATTGTATGATGACTACAGATGTGACTATACTGTGTATCATACTGCATCATTAGGGGGTAATCATATTGTATCACTAGGGGTATAACAATATAATGTATAATTTGATCACTACAGATGTAACAATGCAATGTCTAATATTGTATTGTCCTGTATCTTATTGTAATGTATTGTATTGTATTGTATTATTGCATGGGGGCTAATGTGTTATCTTGTGGCTAGTCGTTAACTTGGGGCTAACATTTTAGCTCATGGCTAGCTTGTGCACTATAAAGCAGGTTTTTAGTGTTTCTAAAGAAAGCAGTCTAAAGGGATCAGGACAACTTCCACTGTGCCGTTCTAAAATATCTCAAATATTGCACTTATATTAGGTTGAATACTCTAATAATATCAAATATTGAAACATTAACATATTTTAGCCGCTTCTTGTTTTTGCTTTATCAAAAAATGTATTTAAAAAAATTATTAATTTTGTGAAAATTCAGGAATGTGTGTGTGTGTGTGTGTGTGTGTGTGTGGACGTGCCTGTGTGAAAAGGTGCGTGTGTGCGTGTGTGTGTGTGTGTGAGAGAGAGCCTCTGGGAGAACTTAACTGCTATCTCCATTCCAAACGTCTCTCATTTTTGTCAGGAAAGGGCGGCCGTCCAGCAGTCCTCTCAGAGCCCAGGGGTATCGCCGCAGATCTCTGATGGATGTCATTAGTTCTACATTAAAGCCCTCAAGGTTACGGCTGCAAAAATCTAAGATTACTGACGACCAAAATTAGCTGTCCGTGCATTGACATTTCCAGTGTTGGACGGCCACCCAGAGGTCGTGCTGCATTTGGAACACAAAACACCCCTCGGTGTCAGTTTCTGTCGTACAAATGGCATAAAAATAAACCCGAAGAGAAATTAATGGCATAAACAGTCGCTAATGGTAGCTGCAATTGGGGTAGAGCTCCGCTAGAGGTCACCAATCCGACACGGGACCGCCCGTCCACTGACAGAGGCGTGAACCGCGTGCACAATGAGCGTCTCTCTCTCTGTCTCTCTTTCTCTCTGTGCTGGCTGTGTGACGAGGCAGAGGAGGTAAAGGACACACCTGGTGAGCCCGTGTCCGTCAGGGAGGCTCCACTCACCACCGGGTTCACTGGTGTGTGATGGTGGTTTTGAGGCCACAGCCGCTTCAGTCGGTGCTCCACTGTCACACATATGGGAGCACAGACACATACGCGCGCGCAAACACACACACACACGGCGGGGAGAGGAGAGAAGCAGGAAACCTTTAGTGCCTGGTCTCTAATGGTCCACTGTTAGGCCCCTGACAAAGGAAACTTCACTAAACTGAGGAGGAACAACCACAACTGAAAGACTTCACCAGAGTGCGCCCTGCTGGAAAAGGACCACTAGGTTTAAAACCAAATGGTTTTGCTTTCTAATGGGGACCAATAGAGACCACTAGTTTCCTTAGGACATCTTTAGATCCCATTAGGAAACCAAATGGTCGTCTGTTAAATTTAGGCATTAGGATCCTTTACACTGTGATATCAACCCATTAAAAAGTCAAAACAAACCAAAAGAAACACTTAATGGTTTCTATGGGTTTTT